AAGGCGCCAAGCAGCTTAGTGTTTGTGTGCTTGGAACCCCCCGGGCAAAGAGGGCACAGAAACTCATTTGGAGAAATAATAGCTGTAAATAGTCCAGATTTTTGGGTTTGTTTGGGGGCTACACCTGGCAGTGCTCAAGGGTCACTCCTGGCTCTGCACTCAGGAATTACTCCTGGCGGTGCTCTGCGGACCATATGGGACGCTGGGGATGGAACCCGGGTCAGCCTCATGCCAGGCAAGTGCCCTCCCTACTGTGCTATTGCTCCAGCCCCAGTTCAGATTTTTTTTAACTGCTAATTCCATGCCAATATTTTTTCATCTCGGATATTATAGCTTTTAGGTATGGAGGTTTGATCTCAGGTGTATAAATATTTTCCATGTCTCTAACTTTCAAAATATATATGAAGTATGACTAATAAGATTTTTCATTTCTAAAAAGCTGCGTATGAGAGCGTAGTCTTAGGCTCCCAGTAAGATGGAGAAAAAGGTCAGGATTTTCTCATCGACCTTCAGCCCAGAGACTCGAGAAGCTCAATGACCCTCGATCACGAGAAACAGCGACTGTGAGTTCGGGGACAGCAGGGCCCCGAGCTGGACGCGTGTTCGAAGTCCCTGGGGTGTGCCCGGCGCACAGAGAGGCCCCAGGACCCCCCAGGAGCTGTCTAAGTGCTGCTGGCAAGGCCGCAGGGCTCAGGGCATGGTGCCGGGGAAGGTCGGGGCTGGGCACGCAGGACATGGACAGCCCAGGAGGACAGGACAGCAGGCGGGCTCCCTGCAGGGTGAGGTGGGCGGCTATCGCAGGAGACTAAGATCCTGGCCAAGCATGCCCACAAGAAGCTGGTCCAGGGGTCGGGCAACCGCTGGCCACGTCTGGGGGCCTGTGGGGGGCGGTGATGAGTCCCAGAAGGACAGGGGGTCCGTGGCTCAGAGTGGGACCCCCTGCTGCTCCCCACGCAGGGGGTGCATCTCTTCTCTCCACAGCGCAGCAGCGCCAGCCTGAGGCTGGAGGTCTGGGGCACTAAGAGATGAGAGATGGTCCCTGGTGCCCCCCCGGCGGTGGGGGGGGACCCAGGCCTGTGTAGCCAACCCCCGCGAGCGCCCCGGGCTGGGCCCCATTGAACATTCCGTCCCTCTAGCTTCCACCAGGGAAATGCCTGGCACTGTGAGCCCAGCGTGGGTCTGCAGGACGAGGTCCCCACAGACTCGGTCAGGCCGGGCCGGGCTTTAGGAACTGACCTGCAGGGCATGTGGGACCCCAGGGAGTGGGGGCTCAGGTGGCTGTGGAAGGTGGGATAGAGCTAGAGAAGCCACAGGAACTGGGGTGCAGACTCAGCCCCACGCCACATACCCCATGTACCCCACATACCCCACAGCTGGGGGGGCTGGGAGGCCACAGGCAGTGAGCTGAAGCCACCGAACCCCACTACTGGGAAACCAAGTGCTAGAGGCAGAGGGTTTGGGGCTCATGTGGCATATCCTGCCCTCCTGGAACCTGGTACAAACTCCCCTCCTTTCCACTGACCACCCCCTCCCCGGCGCTTCCCTTCCACGCTATGCACAGAAGAACGACAGGTGGCACCGGGGGAGGGGGCAAGAGGGGGCTGCAAGGCACAGACGGCGGGTGCTGTGTGTGCTGAGTCCACGTGTCTGTGTGTGCTCTTATGTACGCACAGATGGTACATGTGTGTATCCATGTGTGAGCCTTGTACATATGCATGCACATGCATGTTTGCATGTGATGTGCATATCTGACACACTAATACACGTGCACGTGTAAGTGCTTGCACACACGTGTGCTGCTTGCGTGTGCTTCATATGTGCACACATGTGTGTGCATGTATGTCTGTGTGCTTCCTATAGAAATGCTTGTGTGTTTACATGTATGTGTGCATGCACATGTGTGTGTCTGCATGTGTCTATGTGCCCGTGTGCATTGTGTGCTTCGGTGTACAAATATGTGTGTGTGTGTGTGTGTGTGTGTGTGTGTGTGGTGTCTGGCTGTCTCACAAGGGGCTGAGCAACTGCCAAGCAGACTGGCATGAGGTGCCTGTAATCACCCGTGTGACTTGAGCTTGGCAGCCCCTGTTCTGATGCATCACAGAGGTTGCTGGGAGTGCCGAGAAGGGCCGTGGGTGCTTCCTGCAGACACCAGGAGCCCCCGCATCAGAGGGCACAGATGTGACCCCAGCCCTGGCCTCCCCATGGCGCCGGGAACCCACAATGCTGACTCCAAGGCTGACTCCACATCCTCCCCTGGGAGAGCGGCCACACGGCCCCCGAGGTGACTGGCCAGCAAATGCCAGCAAGGCCAGTACCCTGAGCCTGAGGCCTGGGCACTGGAGCAGAGTAGAGTACAGGGCTGGGGTGTTGGAGCAGAGAGCAGGGTGCAGGGCTGAGGTGAGCCCTGCAGCTCCCATACTCTGCAGGAGGCTGTGACTGACTGAGTGTATAGTGAAGTTTGCTGCCTCCAGCCCTGCCCCTGGGGTGGATAAAACAGCGACTGTCACTGCATGTTTATGTGAATGGGAGACTTGGGAGAAGACCCAGTGGGTGGGAGTTTTCCTGTGTCAGTAAGATCAGGTCTGAGGACAGCTGACACCTGTGCTTCAGGAACCCAGAAGCGGGTCTGTAGGGACCAACCCTGGGTGAGCAGGTCTGTGTAGAGACAGCCCAGGTGAGCGGGACTGAAGGGGAGTGGGGGGTAGGGGGTAGTGAGAGGGAAATGGTGTGGACAGGGGGACAGCCCCACCTACTGAGAGCCTGGACTGCCCTTTGCGTTCAATATTTATTCCTTAGAACCAAGAATTATTACTGGAGAAAGGGGAAGGCATTCTTCAGCCGGCTGCCAATCTGTGCTCATCTGCCCTAGCAAAATTCCGCTGGGGCACGCGTCTGGGGCTTATCCTAACAATCCGTGCTGGAAGACAGAGCAGAGAAAGCGGCCCCGGGCAATGCCTCAGCAGCTTCCCAGAGGCCAGGGTCCTGCTCCCTGCCCATCTGCTTCTCTCTTGACCTCCCTGTCTTAGCTGGGCCTGCGGTGCTGTTGGTATGGCCCACGCTGGCTCCCTGGCACATGAGGGTAACAATGGCAGTTATCAGGAGCAACAACGGCACAATGACTTGAGTTAAATAATACCTAGATGTTTCCATGGCTCGTGTGTCGAATTTTTTTCTTTTTTTTTTACTAAAACTGAAACTAGTTCAGATTTTTAATCTGTGTGAACATGAGTGCTGTCCCTGAAATAATGGGAAGATGGTGGTTTAAAAAATTAATAAATAAATAAAAGCAAAGGGAAGAACAGAGTCAGAGGGGAGGGCGCTGGCATTGCACGCTGCCCACCCAGGTTCCACCCCTGGCACCCCGTCTTAGAACTGAGAGCGATCCCTGAGCACAGGGCCAGGAGCAACCTCTGGGCACTGCTGGGTGGGACCCAAAAAAGCCAAAGAGGTAAAAAGCAAAGGGAAGGTTGGGTGCCCACATCTTCGGACCGTGGATCTGTCAACGTGGGCCAAAGAACTGTCATTTTTTGCTTTTTGGGTCACACCTGTCGATGCACAGGGGTTACTCCTGGCTCTGCACTCAAATTAGCCCTGGTGGTGCTCAGGGGACCATATGGGGTGCTGGGAATCGAACCCAGGTTGACCGTGTGCAAAGCAAATGCCCCACCTGCTGTGCTATTGCTCCAGCCCCCAAAGAACTGTCATTTGCAGAAGAGAAAAAAAAATAAAATAAAATAAAGAAGTCGACACACAGGGAGGGGCTCCTGGCTCTGCATCATGGCCACCCGCCTCCCTGCACGCCAACACCAAGGAGCCTGAGCCCCTTCCGGCGAGTCCACGCCCCCAGGAAGCGCTCTGCAGCCCTGCCAATGAGAAGTGGACGCCCCCTCGCTCCTCTCCAATGAGCTCTCGAGGGGTAGTCCCGCCCCTGATTCTCCGCTCGCTCTCCTCCAATGAGCTCTAGCGGGACAGCCCCGCCCCCTGCTCCTCAGCTATAAAAGCTGCTCTCCCGGGGCTTGTTTGGCTTTGCGTCTTTGAGACCACCCAAGGGTGTCCCAGGGGTACCACAGCATGATAGCAAGGGGCTAGCCTGCAAGACGGGGGCCACGGGGAGAAAACTAGATTGGAGAAGGGCCGGGGATGGATAGAGGTTGGTGATCGCCGTGCTGTGGGCAGTAGGGCAACCCCGGGTCCGTGGCCTGAGAGCGTGTCGTGGCCAGCTGCTGCCCGCTCCAAAGGGCTGTGAGGGGGTACGGAACCCGCCAGGAGTGCCCACACACTCCCACACCTCCGCGCCCGGGCCCCAGCCTGCACCAGCGGCTCTCTACACCGCAGCCCGGAGGAAGGCCAGGACAGGGGCAGCGCCCCAGAGCTCCTGGGCGCCTCCAAGCCCGCTTCCAGGGTCAGGGTCTTCGCGGGCACATCTCAGAGCATTCAGGGCCGGAGAGAAATCCACATTTCCCTCCGGACTGAAAGGCACGCGGGGAACCACCCGGCTGAGACATGGCGACCACGGAGGCATTAAGAGGCTGCCCATTACAAAAATGGCCTCCGCCCCGCTAAAACATGGCGGCCACGGAGGCCGTGAGGGCTGCCCTTTACAAATATGGCCGCGGCCCCACTAAAACATGGCGGCCCCGGGAGCATTCGCGGGGGTGCCTTCACACACTTGAGCCCGCTCCGCTGAAACATGGCAGTCTCGGAGGAAGGAAGGGACTTCCCAGTGCAACTACAAGGCCGACCCGCTGAAACACGGTTCTCGCGGGGTATTTGAGGAGGTGCCCTTTCCTAAGATGGCCGCCGCCCATCTGAAACATGGCGGCGACAGTTACTGAGGAAGCCGCCCATAGCCAACATGGCCGCTGCCCCATCAAGCATGGCGGCTCCGGAGACAACCCCCCACCCCCACCCCCACGGAGCTGCCCCGCCGCCTACGTAAAGAATCAAATTGTCGGCGCAGACTCGCGGACGCCTGGCTGTGATTGGCCGGCCGCGGGGACGTCAGCGTCGGCGTCCGCGGGCTGCCGCGGGGCGGGGAGCGTTGGACCCAAGCGCGGGGCTCGGCGGCGGGGCGGCTCGGCCGCTCACACTCATGAGGAGCCGCAAGGTGAGGAAGCCGGGCCGTGAGGGCTGCGGGCGGGGGGCGGGCTGCGGAGGAGCCGCCGATGCATTCGAGGGTGTGTCTTGGAGCTGCTGCCGGGGAAGCGACCCGGACCTGACCCGACCCGGGGCTGCACCTGGGGATCTCCCGCCCCCGCCGCCGGCTGCACCCTGGGAAGGGGCTCCCGTACCCACCCCACGCTGCACCGTGGGAAGGGGCTCCCGCAATCCCGGCTGCACCCCAGGACACCTCCCATACCACCACCTAACTGCCCCCATGGAAGGGGCTCTCGCACCCACCCAGCTGCACCCCGGGGCACCTTCCGTACCATTTCCTAGCTGCACCCTGGGACGCTCCCGCCCCTGCCCTCAGCTGCATCCTGGAGGGTCCCGGACCTGCCCCCATTCGCACCATTAGGGGCCAGTTCACTCTCCCGCGGGGAAGGGGGTGCCCCTGCAGGACCGCCGGTTCCCCCTTCCCTGCACGGAGTCGCGGCCAGGCGCTGGCAGGGCCCCCCCACCTTCTCGGGAATGTGGGTCCCTGCCACTCCCAGGTCAGGGGGCGCCCCGCGGGCTCCTCCAGCGTCCGCAGCTGCCCAGCGTATCTGTGGATCCCCCGCCTCGCGTCCGGTGTCCCTGTTTTTCTAGGAGACTCCAGGGACGGGGGTCTTCATGTCTGTCTCTAGGCTGCAGTCCTGGGGGAGCCCCTGGGCGTCTTCACCTGTCCGCCCACCTGCCCTCCACGTGTTCCCGGGGACATGTGTCTGCAAAGTGGGCTGTGGATCCAGACGTGTGCGACTCTGTGGGGGTCCCCTCCCCTCCTGGGAGCAGGGACGGAAGCTCTGGGGATCGGGCTGCTGGGGTGGAGTAGCGGCCCCTGCACTGGACATGGGGCTGGACCCCCGGCAAATGGGCAGGTTTCAGTGGGGGGCTGCTGGCCCCTGTGGGACCCTCGGGCGCCTCCCCCTCACATAGGCCCGGCTGGGGTGCTGTAGAGCCCCAGGTTCCCTCTGGGGAGACCAGGACGGGGAGGGACGTCTTCCAAGGGCACTGGGACCAGGAGCACCTGAACCTCAGCCTCCGGGAGCTCAGACAGGCGGGTGCAGCTGTGGGCATGAGTTGGGGTGAGGCCTGGGGAAGGTTTGTCCTCAGACGCAGGATCCCCAACACTGCAGCCACTGGGGAGGGGGGGTCTGCCCCCTGCTCTGCTGCTCTGGAGAGCCTGCACCCAACCCATCCTTCCCAGGTGCTGCCCACCTCATCCCTGCATACCTCTCCCTCCCTGAGCCTCTCTGGGAAGCTGACTCCCCGCCCACACACACACACACTCACCCCTGCACCCTAAGCATATGACGCAGCTGCCCTCACAGCTGCTGGCTCATTAACGGCTCCTGGTGCCCACCGGCCCTCCTTCCGTGGCCGTCCTGCTGGTGGGGCGCCTGGTTGGGCCCCCTGTCCCGTGGAAGTGGCACCTTTCTGGGGGCCGGTGCTGCAGGCAGCCCTCGCCTCGTGCGTGCCCCATGTGTGCTGGCACGGGGTGGGTGCCCGCCCCTCAGCACCCTCTGTTCCAGCTCCCAGGTGGCGTGCGCTCCTCGGCGCGGCTGCGGGCCCGGAGCTGCGTTCCCCGCTGCGCCTCCCCACCGGACACCCGTCCTGCATGCCAGGTGAGCCCCACGCACGCGCAGCTGGGAGGGGACAGGTCGGTGCCACCGCCCAACCGCTCACCGCCCCCTTCCCTGCAGCCCAGCCTGGCCCGGCGCACCCCTAAGAAGTTCAAGTCTGACAGAGGGCCCCCGGGGAAGGCCCCGGCCCAGAAAGCCGCCCCCCGGGGTCTCCCCGAGGCCCGCTGCCACTCGGAGCCCCGCGACTGTGCAGGTGTCGGGAATGGGGCGGGGAGCCCTGCGCGCCCCGAGCCACCCCTGCCACCCCTGGATCCCAGCGTCTTCCTGGACGACGACAGCAACCAGCCGCTGCCCGTCGACCGCTTCTTCGGCAACATGGAGCTCATGCAGGTGCGCGGGGCCCGGGAGGGGGGTGCGTGCCTCTGCCGCCCCCGTCCCTGCTCACCCATTCTGCCCGCAGGACCTGCCACCCGCCACGGCCCCCTGCCCGCCTCTGAGCCGGCGTGAGCTCCGGAAGCTGCACTTCCGGGCCAAGGACGACGATGACGACGGCGACGGTGATGAGGACGCTGCTGAGCTGTAGGTGCGGGTGAGGCCCGCTGGCACCCGGCCTGCCCGGTCGGCCCGGCCCCCGACACCCGCTGGGCTCAGGGCATGGGGCCGGGCACACCGACACAGCGCCCCCCACGCTTCTGTTTCTGGCCAGTTTGTTGCCCATTTTCAAGATCTGGCCATCTCGGGTGAACACAGTGCTCATCCTTAAAGAACTTCCCTCCAGTTCGTGCTTGCTGCGGGGGTCCCGCCCGGTACCCCTGGGGAAGGGGTGCACGCTGCGCCCGTCTGTGCCCCTCTCCTGGGGCGCGGGCCGCCTGAACCCAGGGCCGGAGTCAGTTCCTGCAGCTGCCCCGGGGCTCCCTGACAGCGGCCCCATCTTCAGGCCCATGCCCGGGAAGCCCCGCACTGGCCCAGAAGGTTCTCAGGCCAGCACAGGATAGGAGGCTGTGACCGCGGGTCCCAGAGCAACCAAGGCACAGGCCCCTCTATGCTGCTGGGGGCAGAAATCATCGACCCCCTTTATCTGGATCCGTCCCTGAGTATAAGCGTGCTGGCTGACACATCTGTTTCCCGAAAAAAGTCTTTATTGCCCATTCTGTTTATAAAATAGTATCATATAAAAAAAAAAGTATCACAAAATAGGTATTTGTAAAAAAAAGAATCATGAAATCCTCATTTCAAAAACTTCCCCTCTTGGGGCCAGAGAGTTAACACAGGACACGAAGCACCTTCCTTACGCACATCCGGGCCCATCCCCGGCAGAGGGGGGTCCCTGGAGTGGGGGTCCCCCAGCACAGCCAGCAGTGATCCCTGAGTAGTGACCCCACGGGTGCAGCCCCGAACAAGCAACAAAAGCTTAGCGTCTTAGCAAAGGCCTGACTTGGAAAAGGCATCCTGAGGCTCGGGCCACACCCCCGGAGTGTCCCTACAGACCTTAGGACACTGCACTTGGCAAGTGCCCCTGGCAGTGAGGCCTCACACCTCAGTTCCAGCCACAGCAGCACATCTGCAGGCACCACGAATGCAGCTCACCAGAACTTGTGCACCCCAAAGAACGCAGCACCTCGGAGCTCCTGGGCGTACCCCAGCGTGGGGGCAGGCAGGGGCCAGGGCATAATTCCGGAAGGTGCCGTTTCAGAGTGACCCAGCTCTGGGGTGCCACGGTTCCAGCACCATGAGGCTCCTTGGGCAGGGCAGGGCATGGGCAGGAATGTGCTCCCTGGCGGTCCCTCTGAGCTGAGGGCCAGGGACCCACGCTCACCGGAGGACCAAAACCAGATCTGCAGCTCCCAACTTGGGATTTGTAGGAGCGGCGGTGGAAGCTGCTACAGGCCCAGCAGGACAACAGCACTGGCCATGCTCCTGTCCACAGCCAGGAGATCTGCGTGGTCACGCAGCACTGGTCAGGGACAGGGATCTAGGGCTGTGGTCCCCATGGGCGGGGGGGTGGGGCGTGGCCTCCGGTGGGCGTGGCTTTGTGGCAAATGTGGTCTCTGGTGGGCGGGGCCGCCGGGGTGTGGTCACCTGCGCCTACGAGCCTGCGGCTTCTTCCGCTGCAGCTGCCTGCTCTGGGGCTTGTAGACCCTGCGAGGGTCGCAGCGGAGCTGGTGGGTGGTCTTCTTGTGGCAGGCGATGTGCACCAGCTTCAGGTTCTCTGAGGTGAACAGCAAGCTGTAAAAATACTCCCAGTCGACCTCCCTGCCGTCCCGGGCCGCCACCGCCTCGGCCAAAGCGGGCACCACCGTGCGCTTCTTCTCGATGCTGCAAAGGACCACCCGAGGGTCAGTGTCTGTGGCTGCCTCCCGCCGGCCGTGCCCGAGGACGCAGCTGACCAGCTTGGCTGATGCAGACTGCTGCAGTGGACAGCAGGACCCACAGCCACCCCGGGCTCCAGCCCCGCAGGCTGGGCAGCATGCGGAAGACTCGCATGGACATCGGGCACAGCCCCAGGGGCAGCGCAGGCGGGACACACCCAGAAATGGGCGCAGGAAGGAAAGGAGCCGGTGGGCACCTGGGCCCTGTTCATGCCTCAGAATACAGGAGCGTTGGCCCACAGGACAGCCCACCCGCGAGGTTCCACCCGTCAGGTGTGGCCCTGACTGGTCATTCAAGTGACCTCTGCAGCCCACCAGCCCCCAGGGAAAGGGGCCGAGCCTGGGGGCCCAGGCACTGGGCTGCCCGGGCCATTCATGCAGCTGACCCCCCAGGTGCCCCGGGGCACGCACACGTGGTCCAGGTTCCAGGTGCTGAAGAGCACGCGGCTCTCACGGTTGCTGTAGGGGTTGATGGAGTGTCTGGACGCACAGTCGGCCATGTCGAACGGGCCCTAGGCCAAGAGAGGGGCAGATGGCACTGAGGCCCGTGCCTCACTGTCCCTTCCCAGCCCTCAGGGCCCCATCCCACCCACCACCTCCAACAGGGCCCGCTGCCTCCCCCCCCAGGCCACTGTCCAGCCTGACCCCTGCTCCCCCCACGGGCCATTTGATCTCACCCCCAAGAAGCCTCACCCCGAGCACCTGCTCGAGAGCCCCCAAGGCCTCCCCACACAATCCCACTGTCTGGCCAGAAGCTTGGGGGACCCTTGGGAACAGCACAGGGATGACAAAGGCAGCCCTTGGCACTCATCCTGTGTGAGGATGGACAGAAGAGGGACAGGCAGAAGGCCCCATCCAACTATCCGGCCCACCAGATGTGACCAGAGACACCCGGGACCCTTTGGGGGCAGCGAAGGCCGTGCAGGGTGGCTGACACCTGGGAGGGGCGCTCACCTGGCAGGAGAACCAGCCCTCGGGGGTGCAGAGGCGGTCACCCGCTGGGGCGCCCCGGTCGAAGTAGCTGCCGTGGTAGCGCTCAGCACGGAGCTTCTGGCTCATAGCATCCACCAGGCGCGAGAACTCCCCTCGTGCGCCTGCGCCCACAGCCGGTACGAAGCCGCTCACCTGGGATAGTGAGAGAGCAGTGGGCGCGGGGGCCCCGGACCCTGGTCAGGCCAGCAGCCATCCTGACCCCATCCTGGGCCCTCAGCCGGGGTCAGCTCCCACCGTTTTGCAGCTGGCCACAGCTGGGAAGCGGGAGGGAGACAGAGTGTCACAGGGGGTGGGGGGGGCTCGGCGGGGAGGGCCGCAGGCGCATGGGGGGCTGACCCAGTCCATCCCTAGGAGCCCTGGGTTGTCACCTGTGTTGTGAGACTCTCAGTGAGATGCCTCCACCCCAGGGCCAGCACCTGCTACCAGGTGGGAGGGAAGCAACACCCCACAGCATTTCTGTGGCCACTTCTCAGCAACAGCCCAGCCCTGTGGTCCCTGTGGCGGGCACAATGGGCACAGCAAGCACTGCGCGGGGCGACTCACCTCCCTCAGGTAGCTGCGGATGCGGCTCTCACAGCTGTGCCTCAGGTAGGCCGCCTTGCTCCGGAATCGGGGCTCCAGGCCTGGGCAGGGGGGGCAGGGGGGTGAGAGCCCAGCTCCGGGACACAGTAGGTCTGTGCCCCAACACCTGGCTCTGCTTGCCAGCACCCCACGTCTGGCTGCTGGTGGGGGTGATGCGGAAGGAGGGTCCCCCACCGCTGCTGGCGCTTTCCCTCCCGCTCAGGAGCCCCACACCCGACCTGGGGGGATGGGGGGCCCCCAGGACTGCCGAAGTCCCGCACCTTCAAACCAGGGCGGGTCCTGGGCCCGCGTCTCGGCGGCGATGTTCTCGCTGGCAGTGCTCAGAAGGTCGGCCAGGAGCCTCTGCCGCAGTGGCGCCCGTTCCCCTGCCAGAAGCTGCCGGGCCGCCTGTACCAGGCCGGCCGGTGGCCTGTGGAACACGCTCAGGAGGCGGCTGATGTCACTGACGTCTGCAGGGGGACAGGGTGGGGCCAAGGCTGACCTGGGGGCCCACACACACCTTCTGCTTGCAAGCCCCTCCTCCCCGCCTGCCAACCGGGGCTCCAGCACTCACCCCTGAGACACCCGGACAGTCCCACCCAGGCCATAGGCACCCACGGGCTCTGGGGGCTGGGCCCACCCAGGGTGGGAGAGGGGGGGTCCCGAGGCGCAGAGTTCACGGTCTACAGTGGCCAGGCCTGAGTGATTCTGTCCCACTGAGGGAGGAACCCGCGGGCATTTTCACAACCTTCTGTCAGGCAGAAACGGAAAGCAAACAGCCAAGGGTGTGGTCCCAACAGGGGGGTGCACACTCCACAGAGTGGCCCCCGGGGGCCCTAGCCGCTTCACTCGGCCCCAGCTCCCACTTCGTCCCAGCCACTGGCAGCACCTCTGGACACAGCACCCTGAGCCAGGGGCCCCCAGGGATGGGAGAGCTGTGGGCGCCCCACCACCCCAGGGAGACACCCCCTAGAGCCTCACAGTCCCAGAGCCCTGTGGTCCGGGTCCCTGCCACCCCAGCAGGCAGATGTGGGGGCTGACCACAAGCCACAGCTCTCCCTGCACCCAGCATGAGCATAAACTGAGTCAAAGGCATAAAGACACACCAGCGGGCAGACATTGGGTCCCCCCACCCCACCTGCGGCGCCCCACTCGCCCCCAACTCACAGCCCTGCCAGGTCTGGCCCGCCGTGAGCAGCAGGAGCTCCGTGTGGTCTGCGACTCGGCCGAAGTTCTCCTGGGTCAGCTCTGCCCCGTCCTCATAGAGACACAGGCGGGCCCCGAGCTGGGGGACCTGGGCGGGGGGAAGGGGGAGCCAGGGGTCGGCGGGCTTACCACGTGTTCAAAACTCCAGCCCTCCTAAGGGGTCCTCCTCTGACCGCCTGGGCGCTGCACCGAAAGGATCCGGTGACACGGGGGATGGGGACAGCCCCGGGTGACCTCACTGCGTAAAGTCCTCCAGAAGGTACAAGGTCGCTTCTGTGGACCTGCCACCCGGGGCCCCTACTGCGGTCCCGGGGTTCCAAGCCCGCCCCCCGCACGGAACAGGGTGCACTGCGCACCCCAGCACGGAGAGCCCCCCCTGTCCGGGCGGGTCCAACAGGACCCTCCGCCGTGAGCCCAGCGCCGAGACCTCGGGGTGCGAACTGCTCCCCGCGCCCCTGTGCGCCCGCGGAAGCTCCGGGCCTCAGTTTCCCGCCTGTGACACCCGCGGCCGACGCACCTGCAGGAGGCGGCACCCCTTCTGCAGCACCTCTTCGGGGCTCCTGCCCGCCACCCCGAATTTCTGCGGCCCGTGCAGGACACGCAGCTTGAACGCTTTGGGTTTCTTGAGCACGGCGCGCATCCTCCGTGGGCTCTGCACCGCGCGGGCTCCGCCCCGGGCACCCAGGCCCCACCACCCGGAAATTCCATTATCCGGCAGGCCGGAGGGCGACCGGCCAGACGCTGCCAGCGCGCAAGCACCGCCCCTAGAAACTACATTACCCAGAAGGCTCCGGGGTGGCTGGTTTACGTCTTGTGCGCAAGCGCTGCCTCCCAGAAACTACATTACCCAGAAGGCCCGGGAGCGGCAGTCCAACGCCTTGTGCGCAAGCGCCGCCTCCTAGAAACTACATTACCCAGAAGGCCCGGGGCAAACGGCCTGCCTCTTCCTGTGCGCAGGCCCCGCCTCCTAGAAATTACATTACTTCTCGCAAGCTCCTGTGGTGCAAAGACCCCTCCACCGCCTCTCCACAAGCCCGATACCCGGGAGGCTAGAGGAAAGCGGAGGACCTGTCCATCCCTGTGCACTAGCCACTGTCGCCCTAGAAACTCCATTACCCAGAAGGCACAGGGAGGCGAGCGGCGGCTCCGCGTCGTGCGCAGGCGCGGCCGGCGCCAGACGTTCCATTACCCAGCAGGCCCCGGCCAGAGGGAGCCCGAGCCGCGAGCTGCGCAGGCGCGGAGGCGCGGGCGGCGGGCCTGGTTGTCATGAGAGCGGCGGTCGTGGCCCGGGCGCTGGGCGCGGCGGCCCCGGGCTGCTCGTCCGCTGCCACCGCCGCTGCGGCTCGGGGTTGCGGGCCGGCCCGGGGCAGCGGCGGAGGCGCCACCTAAGCCTGCCGGAGGAGCGGCGGGGGACGTCGGGGGCGCGGGCCGAGCCCCTGTCCGAGCAGGTACCCGAGCGGGGGCGCGTCCGCGGCGTCCGGCCGAGGCCCGGGGTTCCGCTTGGCCGGTCCCGGGCTCCGCTGGCCGAGTCCTTGGGGCTCCGCTGGCCGGTCCCCGGGACTCCGCTGGCCGGTCGCAAGGCTTCGCTGACCGTTCCCTGGGGCTCCGCTGGCCGGTCCCCGGGGCTCCGCTGGCCGGTCCCCGGGGCTCCGCTGGCCCGTCCAGGGGGCCCAGCAGCGTTACAGAGCCCAAGAAGGGCCTTTGTCGGGGGTCCCCGCGACCCGAGGCTGCAGAAGGAACCTTCGGACACTGCGACTCACTGCCCTGCACGGTTCCCAGTCGCTTTTCCTGGAATTCCCTATTTGGGGTTTAGGAAGCCCCGTGCTGGAGCCTCCACGGCGGGCGCAAGACGACCCCCTTCTCGTCTTGGCTCTGCAGAGGGCCAGGAGCTTGGGGGCCCCTCAGGCCAAGACCCTGCCGAGCTCTGGGCGCTTTTCTGGGACCCGGGACGGAGCGTGACTGAGGGAAAAACAAATACCCAGGCCGAACCCCACTGATCCCCTACCGAACAGCCCCCCACATGCACCCCGGGCTACTGGCCATCCAACACCCCACGCAGATCCCCAGTTACCCCCATTCTTTACCCACACTATACCCCATTTTCCCAACCCTACACTCCACAGCACCCCAGTATCCCAATCCTATACCCACAGTTCCCAGTATCCCCTGTCCCACACCCCACTCGACACCCCAGCATCCTCCAGCTCCCCCACCCCTTCACTGCACCCCAGATGCCCCCCATCCCCTGCCTGCACCACACACAGCACCCGCCTGCCCCAGGATCGGGGTGTGAAGGCTGCCTGCGGCTGATCTTTCAGGCCCTGCGGTGGTGCCTGTCACAGTGCCCACCCCCCATGTGTCCCCGTCCTGAGCTGGTGGGGATGGGGCCAAGGCACAGGGCAGCGGCCTGCTGGGAGTGGAGGGCTCAGGGCTGTCCCCCAAGGAGCTGGCCTGGGCGTAAGTGCAGGGCGAACCAAGTCCCCGGAGAAGGGTCCACGGGGTGGGGGCAGGTGTCAACTGCATCCTGGCTGGTCCTTGATCCTGGCCACTGGTTCCAGGTTGCCCTGGGGGCTTTCCTCTGGGCATTTGCCCCTGCGCATGTCCATCCATTCCAGCACACGTGGCGCAGCCGGCCAGCAGTCCAGCCAGTGCTGTAGCCACACCTGGTTTTGGGGGGGTTGTATACGTGCCTGGTTCCTTAAGGTTCTGGACCCGCACACTGTGTGTCCGCTTCACAGCCCGTGGGGTGAGTCTCCAGAGTGACAGGGTCGTGCTGTCCCAGAGGCCTTTTGTCACCCTTATGATGGCGGTGCCTTTCCTCACCCCACACCACTCGTCGCCAGAAAGCGACCGAGTCCACATACCATTGGGCCTTGGGCACATCTGGAAGACCTGGGGACCAGGGACAGAGCCCAAGCCACTGGCTGGCCCTGTGACCTGGGGTGCTGGGGTCCCTGAGGCCATGTAGTGCAGGGTCACACCCAGGGCCCAGCTCATCGGGGCTAATGTCTGCTGCCCCACGTGGCTGCCAGGGCCTTGAAAGGAGCCTTTCATCCTGGGGCCCACATCCCCCTGATGGCAGTTTCTCCGGGTGTAGCTCAGGAACTGGGCGCATCTACAGTGGCGTGGATGGCAGGGCCCGGGTATGGTCACGTCCAGCCATGTCCCCACGTGCTGTCCCTGCCTGCCGCTGTTCGCCTGTCCATCCCCCTACCCAGCCCCTGTGCATGGTTGATGTCGCAGGCCGCTTCCCTTGATCCCCGTGACTCTGTCACCCCACTGCTGGAGCGTTTTGTCTGATGCCAAAAAAACTTTTGTGTTTCTATCTCAACAAGAAAAAAAAAAGAAAGAAAGAAAAAGGGGAGTGGAAGCTCACAGCGGGTGCGGCGCGGGCGGCTCCGGGCATTCCCTCAAGATCCCGGGAGGTAGGGACGCAGCGGGATGCACTCTCCTGCCGCCCCTCAGCCGGCCCCCACCCCCCAGGTGCCCTCCTCCGGCCGTCCTCTCACCGGGCCTCTGCCCGCAGTGCTACACGATGCCCCACAAGATCGGATTTGTGGTCGCCAGCTCATCTGGACACGAGGACGGCTTCAGTGCCCGGGAGCTCATGGTGCATGCGCCGACCGTCAGCGGCTGGAGGTCTCCAAGGTGGGCGCCGCCCCGCCTGTGTGTCCATGGGGAATGTGGGCACAGAGGAGCCCCAAGACAGCAGCTGCGGATGAGGGGGACCTGGGCGGGACCCCTGGGGCTGCTGCAGAGGGGGCTTCACTTTCTCAGGCCCAGGGGCACCCAGGGCTACTGAGTACCGGCAGGGCATGGTGGTGGGGCCTCCCTCCCGCAGTCAACGTGCAATCACTCATTGGTGAGCCAGTGTGGCCAGCACCAAGTGCCCAGAGCCCTGGTGGGCACGGAAGCCCTAGTCCACACTGCCGGCTGCTCTGGGAACTCGGTGGCTGTGTACCTGGATGGTGCTCCAGTGGCTGTTCAAAGGGCCCCAGTAGGGACTGGAGTGATAGCACAGCAGGGAGGGCGTTTGCCTTGCACGCAACCGACCGGGGTTCGGTTCCCAGCATCCCATAGAGTCCCCCGACACCACCAGGAGTAATTCCTGAGTGCAGAGCCAGGAGGAACCCCTGAGCATTGCCGGGTGTGACCCAAAAAGAAAAAAAAAAAGAAAAAAGATCCCCAGTGGCCCAAGGCCTGCACCTGCTGGGCACAGCCCCCTGGACTCCCCGCGGCTAAGGAGCCAGGCCCGGCCCCAGCGGCGCCCTCGCTTCCAGGTTCTGTCAGTTCCCTCAGGAGATCGTCCTCCAGATGGTGGAGCGCTGCCGGATCCGCAAGTTGCAGCTGCTTGCGCACCAGCACATGATCGCCAGCAAGGTGGAGTTCTACGTCAGCGAGAGTCTGCCCGAGTACTTCGCGCCCTACCCGGCCGAGCGCTTCCGCAGGCTCGGGTGAGGCCCCCTGTCCCCTCCCCGTGTCCTGTCCCCTCCCCATGTCCCCTTGTCCCCTCCCCGCTTCCCCGTTTCCCGGCAGCAGGCCGGCCTGAGCACTGGCTGAGCTCAGCCGTGGCACATGGCTCTGCGGGCAGCTCTTGGCCAGCCTGGCTGACCACCCGGCGCTCTCTCCAGCTATGTGTCGCTCTGTGACAATGAGAAGACGGGCTGCAGAGCACGGGAGCTCAAATCCGTGTACGTGGACGCTGTGGGCCAGTTCCTCAAGCTAATCTTCCACCAGAACCATGTCAACAAGTACAACATCTACAACCAGGTACGACCCTCCCCGCCCAGCCTCATCTCCCCAGAGCAGAGCCAGGCTCCCCATGAACCCTCAGAGGCTGTGCTGGACTGGGGAGGGTCACTAGAGCCCGGGCCACTGTGGGCGGGGACGCGGGAGGGGGACATCCCAGGCCACCCTCTCTTTCCTCCCACCTGTGATTCTCACGCACACGTGCCCTGGTGGCCTAGCAGCTCACAGCTGTGCCCTGACACCCACCAAAGGACCAAACCACCCACAGCTGCTTCCAGCACCATAGCGTTGCTGCCAGGGCACCCAGATGAGTCTTGCTTCAGCACAGACACCCCCAACCCTGCGGCCTGCCGCCCCCCTCTGCAGAAAACGGGCCAGACCCCTACCGCAGGACCTCGAGACGGGTGAGAGGCTGGAGCTTTGGCCCTTCCTCCACAGCTCTGCCAGGCACCCCAGGAGTGAACCCCGAGCGCTGACCCAGAATAGCCCTGAGCCTTCCCTGTGGCCCAGAAACGAAAAATAAGAAAAGAAAAAGCGTTCCCCATGGGTCTAGTCTCACTAGCGAGAAAGCGAGAACCCAGGAGGGGTTCAGTATGTCAGAACCCAGGCATTAACACGGTTAAAAGACAAAAGGGAAAACGTGGATGTTTTTAGTAACAGCTTATTTTGGACGCGTCTAAGTATAAGGCGGGAACGTGAGGGAGGCTTTCCCGAGGAGAGGCAGCCGGGCTCCTGCCTGCTCCGCGCTTTGCTCTCCTGCTCCCTAATAAACCTGCCCCTGTGTACGGTGTGGACACTGCCAGTCTTCACTGTCACCCAGCCTCGTGTGCTCAGAGGACACACACACTTCACGCACACCCTGTCGCACTCACATACTGACAGTCGTACACACACTCACACCCTGTCACTGACACAGTCACGCACACAGGCACAGTCACACATACACTCACACCCTGTCACACATGGACACGGTCCGCACACAGGCACACACATAGTCACATTCTCTCACATGCACACACACTGACACAGTCACACACGCACACATATTGACAGTCACACAGTCATATATACACTCATTTATAGTTACAATCTCACATGCACACGCACTCACACACACTGACACAGTCACCATGACAGTCCACTCACACACTCATTCCCACAGTCATATTCTCTCACACGGGCACACACAGTGACAGTCACACACAGTCATATACACATTCACGTTCACACTGACGCAGTCACATTTACATAGACACATTACATAGACGTTCACGTTCTCACGTTCTCACGCACACATACTACAGCCTCCCTCACCTATCCCTGCCCCACGTCACCGATGTCCTGTCCTCACCCTGTGTCGTAGCACGGCCCTTCCCTAACCGCGCAGCAGCACCGTTCCTTCTTCCGACCCTCCCTCACCTCACACTAAGTTGCTTAGCTGTTTGATCCCGTAATTTAAAAATTTCAAAGATGCGCTCTTAAAATGATTCTGCTTAGGGTTACAGAGTTGCTTTCCGGTTTCACAGACACAGGGCTTTTGTTTGCTTATTCCTGGCCACACCTGACAGTGCTGGGCTCCTTGCTGGCAGAGCTGGGATTCAGCCCGGGCCTCCTGCACGCCAACTGCATCGCTGGCCCGGGTAGCGATTTTATGACTTTTAGTTTTTCGTTTCTGTGTCACCCTGGGGGTGCACGGGGCTTCTTCCCGCCTCTGCTTCAGCGTCAGTCCAAGCGGATCCAGGGCCTGGAAGTGCTGGGTCGGCTGTGCCCAAGGGGCCGTCATGCCACACTCTGCCCGGTGTGTGGAAAGGTGGTCTCGGTGACCACAGCCAGCACGGGGCCTTTGGCAGGGCTTTAGGCTACAGAGCCGAGTCACACCCGGCCCCTTCCCCAACGCGGCCTTTGCTTGCTCTAGGTGGCCCTGGTCGCCATCAACATCATCGGGGACCCTGTAGACTTCGGGGATGAGAGCAACATTGTGAGTCAGGGGCCGCCTCCCTGGGGGACATCACTGGGTCTGCCTGGGGGTCCCCATCACCCACACCGCACGCGCCCCTCCCTCGGGCTCAGCACGGACCTCTTCGCCATGACACTCAGTATGGTTGGTCTTTGCCCCAAGACGACTAGAGAGAAGCTCATCGATCACTACCTGGGCCACCACGCAGAGGACCCGGCTCTGGAAGGGACAAGTGTGGGGTAAGAGCGCCGGCATCCGCTGTGTCCCCTGAAAAGGGGGTTACCCAAATGCCCCCGACCCACACCTGGAGCTGGCCGAGCCCTGAGAGCCGTTGTTGGGGGCCCGAGCTGCCCAGGTCAGGGAAGAGGCCCCCAGCCTCCCAAGAAGCTGCCGGGGCTTAGCGACCCTGCAAGGTGCCACCAGCGTCATTCCCCGGCTGGGCAGCTCCACGTGGGTTCACGGCCCTGAGTGTTGCTCTCGGGGTCTCTCCGGCGGTGCTTAGGGGACCCCACGTTGGGGACTGGTCCTAAGCAGCCCGAGGTCCGCTCCGCCCTTTGTGCATCCCAGGCCTGGAGCCGCTGGTCCACCCCTCCCGCCTCTGCGCCAGGGCGCCCCCATGTGCCCACTGCCTGTTACTGCAGGGGCCCCACTCCAGGGGCCGGCTTGGAAGGGGTGGGGGGAGCAGCCTGTCTCCTAAGCTCCATCCAGCCACACCCGAGGCGAGGTGGCTGCAATTCTGCTGGGACTGTTGCCCAAGGCCATGCGATGCCAGCCCCCTCTTGGCCCAAGGGGGGTGGCAGGGCAGACCCAGCGTGGCTCCTCCATGGCCTTGTCCTCGCCATGTTCTGTTGCTCTCCGGACAGACACTCCCAGAGGGATCTCCCTGCTCCCAGGTGTGTCCTTGGCACCCTAGCTCCCTGCCAGCCATCCAACTTCGGGAGTGCCCGAGCTCTTGGGCCAGTGCTGGGGGGCCCGCACTTGAGCACGGGCTGCAGTGGGTGGATGCAGCCAGGACCTACAGCCACTCGGAGGCCTGGGGGCAGGGGGCTGCCCTGCGGCCTGGGGGATTCGTTGGCACATTCTCCCCTAAGTCCCTGTGGAGATGCTCTGGGCTTCCCCACACAGCCTGGGGCCCACGGCCTGGCCTCACCCGCCGCCCGGCCCATGTCAGACCGGGACATTGGTATCATGCCCTGGCGTTCCACAGGACCAGAGGGCTCGTGCCTGGTGCCCAGTGGGGGGTGTTCACTCTGCGGCAGCTGCCCCTCTCGGCTGCCCTGCACACTTGGGAACTCGCCTGCACCCGCCTGCTCCTCAGGGAGCATCATTCATCCACCCACAACCCATACCCAGGCACGCGTGTACACGCACACGTAGCGTACATACATGTGCGTGCACGCATACACACATGGACGCAGGCACACGCACACACAGGCTCCTTGTGACCCTGAACTGCAGCGGGCAGGAGTCATGGCCACAGTGTGCCCTTGACTGATGCTCCTGGGGCCATTGACCACCCGACCTCACGGGCACCCACACTTCAGTATTTGACTTCATTGTCTTACCTGGGAGTGCTCAGGGCTTACTCCTGGCACAGAATCACTCTGGGGGTGCCCAGAGAACCATATGGGACCCCCGGGATCGACCCTAGTGCAAGGCTAACATCCTCCCCTCCGTGCTCTCACTCTGACCCCAGAACACTCATACTTCTGCAGTCACTGCAGTCTTGCCCCCTCCTCCAGGAAGTCCGACTACATTTCTCCCCTGGATGACCTGGCTTTTGACATGTACCAAGACCCGGAGGTGGCGCAGCTCATCCGCAGGCTGGACGAGCGGAAGCGGGCCGCGGTGCGTGAGGAGCGCTATGACTATGCCAAGAAGCTCAAGCAGGCCATCGCGGACCTGCAGAAGGTGAGGCGGGGCTGAGCGGCGCCAGGAGGGCCCGGGATCCTGCGCCGGAGGCTGACGGCAGCAGCCTGTGTGCAGGTGGGTGAGCGGCTGGGGCGCTACGAGGTGGAGAAGCGCTGCGCCGTGGAGAAGGAGGACTACGACCTGGCCAAGGAGAAGAAGCAGCAGATGGAGCAGTACCGCGCCCAGGTGTATGCGCAGCTGCAGCGCCACGGCCTCGTGGACCTCGAGCTGGTGCGTGGGGGAGGGCGGACCCCGGGCTGGTGCGTGGGGGAGGGGGACCTCGAGCTGGTGTGGGGGGGAGGGGCGCCCTGGGCTGTTGCGGGGAGGTGGGGCAGGCCGGGGGCCCTCAGCTTTCTCCCTTCCCCACCGGCAAAGCACAGTGCGGGACGATGCTCAGAGTGTGGAACGTCTCTGGTGCCAAAGGCCCCAGCAGCATGTGTAGATGCGGGACAGCACTAGCAGAGGCTTTGCACCCCAGGCCACCCCCTCGGGCCTGCAGGGTCCCCGGAGCCTGACCTGGGGCACTCGGCGCCCCTCTCCCCAGATGCGGCCCCCTGTCCCCTCGGGCAGCCCCCGGCACTTGCTCCCGGCAGACCTGGAGAAGCCTCCGGCGCTCGCTCTGGAGGTGGCCCCTCGGCGGGCCCCAGTCACACGCTCGCCACCCACCGCAGAGCCTGGCCCCAGCACCCAGGTAAGCGACCCACCCTGCTGCGTCGGGGCCGCTGGCCTCAGGACTGCCCGCCGGATGTGAGCTAGGCAGGCCCTGGGCATGCTGAGGGCTCTCCTGGGGGCTGGTCTGCCCAGCAGGACAGGCCCGCTCCTCCGACAGGGCAGACCCTCGCCCGCGCGCCACCTCCACGGGGAACCGGGCGGGAAATGTGTGTGAAGTGGATCCCCGGGACCGTAGGGGGTGTGCTGAAGTAGAAAGCTGACGGAAACAGGGAGCTCATTGGCTTTGGTTGCCAGGACTGTCGGGGACTCTGGGGGGTTCAGGTAGGTTTGATGCAGCAGCCCAGTAGCGTCCATGGAGCTTGGTCTCTTCTGGTGTCCACCTCAGCTCCCACTCTGAGCACGAGGTGCTGTAGCTTGACCACACGGGACACTTCATGGGACACGCCCTTTCGGGACACAGGACACTCACAGGATATGCCCTGTCAGGACATGGGACACTCATGGGACACACTCTCTCGGACACGGGACACTAACAGGACACGCCTTCTCAGGACACGAGACACTCATGGGACACAGCCTCTTAACGGACACGGGACACTTGCAGGACATGGGACACTTATGGGATGCACCCTTTCAGGATGCAGGACACACCCTCTCGAGACATGGGACACTTGCAGGATGCGCCCTGTCAGGCCATGGGCCAGGCCCAGTCCTTGTCTCCATGAGATCCCACCCTTGTCTCTCCAGTGTGAGTTGCCCCTCTGCTGTCCACTCAGTGACCTGAAAGGCTGTGGCCGCCTCGCTCTGGACAAGGCCCTCTGGGGTGGGGGTGGGCGCTGCCGTCTGCTGCCCACAGAGGCCCGAGGGAGGCTCTGGACCGTGTCATCGGGGAGCTGCTGCCTAATCAGATGTGTCCAGTCCGCCCGGCTTCTCAGCAGTTTCTGTCACCAGCTGGGAAGTCTCAGGATCCTGTCAGGAGATGGGACCGATTCTTGCCCTGGAGGCTGCGTGGGGATAACGGGGCTGGGACCCTGGCGAGAGTGTCCACTGACCCCAGTGGCTTCTGGGCGGGTGAGGCAAGACCCCATGCCTCAGAGCCACGGGGCCTGGCTTTGCAGGAGTCCCGAGAGGGTTACGGATGCCCTGTCCTAGGAGACTGGACCGTCCTACCTCTGATCTGTGGAGGGGACTGCTGGGGAGGCCTGGGGGATGGGACTCCCCTCCCCATCGCGGGCTTCCGAAAGGGTCAGGCTGTGCCCCCTTCTGGGCCCCTTGCCCTCCCGCAGCCCAGCCTGTGCCTGGAGCAGTCTGTCCCAGCCAGTCCCCCACAGCACTCGTCACCCCCCTACAGAGGACAGTAGGAACCGGGTAGGCTGTCCGGGCGCCTTTGTGGACAGGGTGGGCGCGGCTGTGGCAGGTGTGAGTCTGAGGCCCGGCCCAGCCCAGGAGACAGCCAGCCCATGATCCAGGCTCAGGATGCAGGGGGCCGAGGGCCAGCTCGTGGGGACAGCCTAGAGGTGTCAGGCCGCGTGGTGGACATAGTCAAGGCTGAGAGCAGAGGCGCCCTCGGGGGACTGGGAGAGTCTGCAAACATGATTCAGAGGATGCGGCTCTCAGTTCCGCAGAGTTGCCATTTTTTCTGATGATAAGAGTGAATGTTTTAGTAAATGACTTAGAAAATTAGAATGTAACTTTTATAAAAGGAATGTTGCTCTGACTTTCTTCTTGTATTTTTAATTTACTGAAAGTGCTGAGAGGAAAGCAGGTCTTACAGTTTTACTCAGGAAAGGTAATTTGTTCACTTACTGCCGCTGTTACAGGTGAAAGGCAGAGTAACTTTGTAACAATAGAGCCTGACTTTCAGGAGCAAGCGGCAGTGTCCTCAAAAGGCAGTTCTTGCTCCTCTGATCCGGCAGCCGGCCCGGCGGGTAGTAATGAGCTTCCGGCTCGCAGGAAAGGCCGGGGAGCGGGAAGCCAACCGAGATCACAGCCACTGTCCGGGACTGCCGGGCGCTGTGGGCGCTGGCGAGGGGCGCGGCTGTGGACGCCTGCAGTGGCAGGGCCACAGGCTCATGTTTGCTCGTGAGCTGGCGTCGCGTCTCCCTGGTACAGCCACTGAAGCCCAGGGTGTGGCCACTGTCGCTGTGGCCTCACACTCCCAGCCACCGGCCTGCGGGAGGGGAGCCCCATGCCCTGTCTGTCCCTTCCAGCTCGAGTCCCTGCCCTATGACGAGAGGCCACTGCCCACCACACGCCAGCAGCAGGCGGCAGCGGAGAAGAGCGACCCTGACGTCGGCGAGGCCCCTAGCGGCCCCGTGGGCGAGCCCGAGCCCCTGACGGAGAAGGCCTGGCGCGAGGCGGGCTCGGCCATCGAGGTGCTGGGAGAGACGCTGGTGAGAAGCCCAGGTGGCACTTGGGCAGCAGGCGGGCAGTGGCGGGCTCACCCACGGGCGGCACAGCGCACCTCCTGAGCCTCGCGGCCTTGTGCTCGTTGCCCGGCATGCGGGTGTCACGGCCCCTCGTGCTCGGTGCCCGGCAGGCGGCGTCACCGGCCTTCGTGCTCTGTGCCAGGTGGCAGGTGCCTATTCCAGGACGTGGTCATACCGGGAGGACGCACTGCTGGCCCTCTCCAAGCAGCTGGCGGGGATGCCTGTGGGCGCCCCCAGGGAGGAGCTCAGGAGTGCACTAAGGGCGGCCATCTTCCTTGTCCGCAGAGCCATCAGGGATGTCGTCACCCCGGTGAGTCCCCGCACCACGGCCCGGGGTCCAGACACCGTTCGCTCTGTCCTCCTGGCTGCCGCCCACAGCGCCTCCAGCCCCAAGGAGGCTTGGCCCGGGGACTTGAGGGTCACTGTCTCCTCTGGCCTTCGGGCTCGGGGGTCTGGGGGTGTAGCCGCCGAGTGTGGCCCCGAGGCCAAGCCTCCCCCCCGGCACTGAGCCTCCCACACATCCCCCAGGTCTTCCAGGCCTCGCTGAAGCTGCTGAAGATGCTGGTCACGCAGTTCGTGCCCAAGCATAGGCTGGGCAGGCCGGAGGCCGCGCACTGCGTGGAGAGGACCATCCCCGCGCTGCTGGCCAGGACTGGAGACTCGTCCGCCCGCCTGCGCCTCATGGCCTCCAACTTCATCCAGGTGTGTGTGGCTGTGCCTCGCTCGGGGTCAGCCCGTGACGCTGGGCGTCCATCCGCACGCATCCTGCTGGAAGTGTCCCTTGGCATGCGTGTCCGTCCTGCAGGCTCATCCACTTTCTCAGGGCTCCTGTGTCCAGAATCAGTGCAAGAGAAACGGGGGCGGGCAGGCTCCATGTCTGGGGGTCGGCCCCTCGGGCTTCAGAGAAGGGTGGTGCCCCCACACCGAGCCTGTTCTGCAGTCACCTATAGAGGACTTCAGTGCCCGTGACCGCATGCAGCCTCACTGGCAGCCCTACCCCCGCGGGGCCTGGGCACCCAACGCCACAACGAGCCAGCCCAGAACCCCCCCAGGCATGCACTCTGGGCCCCTGATGGGACGGCCGTCACTCTGTGTGTGTGTGTGTGTGTGTGTCTGTCTGTCTGTCTGTCTGTCTGTGTCTGGGGGGGAGGGGCAAGGAATGAATGGATGAGTGGGGTCTAACTGGGGGTTGGGGGGGGGTTCCCTGTCCTCGCACCCAGGCATTGCCTTACTCTCCTGCCCCAGTGCTTCAGAAGTCAGAAAGCCTTTTTCTCAAGGCTCAGGCACCTGAGAAAAGAAAATCTAAATTCCTGTAACGTGTTTCACCAAGTTTCTGTCTGTTGGATGCTCATGGCTTGCTTTTGTGGATTTCTGGCTTGTCTGCCGTTTCATTTCACTGGAAATCGGGACTTTTAGCTCCGGGTTCCAGCTGCCCATCATCCCTCTCACCGTCCTGTCTCCCCTCTATTCGGTCTTAACTCCGAGTGTCCAACCAAGCTGCTTCTGTCATTTTCCAATAAAAACGACTAAACTGAGATCCGGAGAACGGGCACGGGGAAAGCCGACCCCTTGGGGTATGGCTCTGGGGACACAGCAGACCGAGAGCCGCCGAGCACTGCTTGGCCAGGCCCTCAGCCCCCAAGGGACCCCGTGGTGTTGGTCTCTGCAGGAAATGGCTTTGTCCAAGGAGGTCAAGGCTCTGCAGATCATCCCGCAATACCTGCTGCAGCCCCTGAAGGCCAACGCGTCCCCGCACCTGGCCCTGAGCCAGATGAGCCTGCTGGCACGGCTGCTGCGTGACCTGGGCACCGAGAGCGAGGGCTTCCCTCCAGATGCCGTGATGAAGGTACACACGTCCCAGTCTGCTCTGCAATCCTCAGAGGCCACGGAAGTGGTTACTTTCTGTGCTTACATCACCCGGGAACCAGCATAGGAATGGGAAGGTTTGCTGATGGGCCAGAACCCTGGCCACACAGGCTCTGCCTACCTGGTTCACCGACCCCGGCCGCACAGACACTGCCCACTGGACTCACCAACCCCAGCCACACAGACACTGCCCACCGGGCTCACCGACCCCCAACCACATGGACACTGCTCACCAGGCTCACCGGCCACACAGACACTGCCCACTGGGTTCACCGACCCAGGCCACACAGACACTGCCCACAAGGCTCACCGACCATGGCTACACAGATACTGCCCACCGGGCTTACCAACCCGTCCACACAGACACTGCCCACCAGGCTCACCAGCCCCGGCCGTACAGACACTGCCCACCGGGATCACCGACCCCCAACCACATGGACACTGCCCACTGGGCTCACTGGCTACACGAACATTGGCCACCAGGCTCACCAACCCTCAACCACACAGACACTGCTCACCGGGCTTACCGGCCCTGGCCACACAGACCTGCCCAGGCTCCTGCAGTACCCAGGAAAAGAGCACTGTCTGTCCCCTTCTGCCTGTCTGTCGATCATGCTCCCTGGGGCTTGGGCTCCCGGCCTCTGGAGTGTGGCAGTGTCCCAGTCCCAACCACTCCTGGCCCGGCTGCCTCCGGCGCAGCCTCGGGCTCGTCCCCAGAGGCATGTTCTCTGATGGCAGTCGGACTCTGTCCACTGCCCGGCCGGCACAGCCGACCCTCCCACAAGTGCAGCGACCTCTGCTCCCATCACTTCCTGAGCAGGTGACATCATTGCCACCTGCATCTTCTCCTGCCCTCTGGGCTCTGGGACATAGCAACACGTCCCCCCGCTCAGCAGGGCTGTGCCAGGTGACGCGGCCTCCGCCGTCCTGAGGTCTCACGAGATGAGCCGTTGTGGGGTCTGTGCCCTGGAACTGCTTGAGTTTCGGGAGGGCAGAGCGGCACCACATGGGCCAGAGTTGCCCAACCCTCGCGCTGTCTCTGCAGTTCACCGTGAGCGCCCTGGAGCATCGCGTGTACGAAGTCCGGGAAACAGCAGTTCAGATCATCCTGGACCTGTACCGGCAGCACCGCCCCGTGGTCCTGGAGCACATGCCGCCCGACGATGCCGCCACGCGCAAGAACGTGCTCTACAGAACCATCTTCGAGGGCTTCGCGCGGATCGACGGCCGGCCCACCGACGCCGAGCTCAGGGTGAGCGCCCTGGGGCGGGCTGGCCTGTGCGCCCTCAGCGGGGTCCCCGCTCTGCCTGCAAGCCTCGTGTCCCCTCTGTGACAGGCGTCATCCCAGCCCAGGACCCGGCAGCGACCTTTCCGTGAGCCTGGTGAGCGGCGCTGCTGCTGCGGCCGAGGCTGGCGTGTCAGACGGTCTGCGGGGACTCAGGCTGCCCGAGGAGCCTCCTAACGGAGAAACCGTTTCCCTACCAGGCACAGAGGAAGGCAGCCACGGAGGAGGCAGAGAAGCGAAAGAAGGAGGAGATCCGAGACCTGCAGGGGCAGCTGGCGGCCCTGAGGGAGCTCGAGGCCGAGGCCCAGGTGAGCGCGGTGCTGGCCTCCCTCTCGGGCTGTGATGACGGGAGTCGAGAGAGCTGGACCCCAAGGGCCACAGCTGCTGCCCACCTGCCTGTGCCTGACTGACCAGGCTTCTGAGCGCACACAGCTGGCCCGTGGCCATCACCAGCACCCCAGATGGCTCCCGAGCACCATGGGAATGCTGACTGAGCGCAGAGATGGGAGTCAGCCCTGCGCAGGGCCGGCTGTGGCCAGAGTCCTAAACACATCCAGGGTTCTGAGGGGCCTCGGTCGGGGGGACAGGAAGAAGAGGCGGCAGGGCCAGTTCCCACAGGAGCTGTGCCAGAGGCGGGGGAGGAAAGAGCCAACCGAGTGGCGGGGGGAGCTGTGCGCCGTGGACGCCGCTTCAGTCTCCCCCCAGCCTCCGTCTCCCTGTCTCTGTACCCCCATCTCTCCCCGGGTCGCTCCCCCCGTTCTGCCGCTGCCTCTCACCCTGCTCCCCCTGTGTCTCCGTAGGAGCGAGAGAGTGACACAGTGAAGGTCCTGACTGAAGGCACGTGAGCATGGTGGGCTGCTCTGGGCCAGGGTGGGACCCCAATTGTCACAGCATCACCTAAACTACGTCCGTTTAGAGCCGGAGCTGGTGGGCAGCTGCTGGCCCTGCATGTATGGCCAGCCTGGGCTGGCTCCCTGGCGCCACAATGGTCCCCTGCGTCCTCCCATGAGTGACCATCACTCAGCCGGGTGTCAGCCCTGAGACCACCAGGTGTGGTTCAAGCACCCCCACCCGGAAACCAAGAGAAGGGAAGAGGGAGCCTGTAAAGTGCGCGGGAGTCGGGTCCAAGCCCCGCCGACCTTGGACATGGGCATGGGCTGGTCGCCATGGTCACGGGACTTCTGTGTTCTGACACCTTTAGACTCTCCAGGGAACAAAGTGGCCACCACCGACGCCCCGGAAACCCCGGATACCCACTACCTGGATAAGTGAGTGCCTGCTGCCGAGCCCCGGGGAGTCCGTGGACAGTTGCAGGGGGAGCCTTGCAGCGTGAAGGGTCCCCAGGCAGGCACTCGCACGCGCAGGCATTTCCCAGCGCCACGGGAGGTGCGAGCACTGGCCTGGCAGAGACCCAAACCAGTAGCCACACCGGGACGAAGTGGACTCGGTCAGGCAACCCCAGATGCAGCTCTTGGGGCCGGAGCTCCTGTCGAGGAGGCCGGGGTGGGGGCGGGCACGGGCACGGCGCCTCACCTGCTGCTCTGCCCACTCAGGCTGTGCATCTTCTGTGGGGAGCGCAACGACGCCTTCACTGAGGAGGGCCTGGACCTGCACTACTGGAAGTACTGCCTCATGCTCACGCGCTGCGGCCACTGCCAGCAGGTCAGCCACGGACAACGCACATGCTCACACGCATGCTGTGCACACGCACCCACAAACACACACGCCGAGAGCTCTGCCTTGTGCTCACACTGACAGCCACAGCCTGGTCAGGCAGCTCCAAGACAGTCCCCACACGCGCCCCGTCTCCACAGTCCCCACACACACCCCGTACCCCATCTCCGCACGTGCCCTGTCTCCACACAGTCTACACTCGCCCCGTCTTCATTTGTCCCGTGCAGCCACTCAGGGTGTGGCAGCCCTTGCTGGGGTAACGGTCGCCCCTCTTCGAGTCTGATAGCCCCCAGCCAGCCCCTCTTTGGCATGCAGCACCTGGGCAGCTGGACGCCTTCAAGCTCCACCTCTGCCCGGTGCCGCCTCGACCAGGCCCCAGCCCCCTCAGGATGCCCAGAGACCCCCAGCTGGGGGGTGGCATCAACGTGACCGCCGCCTGCGTCCAGTGTCCGGCACGTGGGCCACACTCCTGCCACCGGTGCCCCCGTGCCAGTGCTGTAGAGGTTGGGGCCTGTGCCCGCCGGCCAGAGGGACCGCACGGAGATACAGCCCCAGGATATAGGAGGAGAGTGTGGCCACCACCCCGCACCTGCCCCTGGGACCCACCGGCCTCAGCCTCGCGGTGCGGGGGGCATGGCTCTTGCTCTCTGCCGGACCCCCAGAACTCCCCACGGCTCCTGGGCCCTCCCTCAGCACGTGCCTTGGAGCTGAGGACCCCAGGCAAGGCCTCAGGGAACACTTCTGGGGCCCCCGTAACCCCCACTGCCCCCCCTCCCTCTTGGGACCAGGTGGTGGAAATCGCCAGTTTGACCGAGCACCTGCTGACAGAGTGTGACAAGAAAGACGAGTTTGGAAAATGCTACCGCTGCGGAGAGGCCATCTTAAAGCAAGACCTCCCGGCACACATAAAGGCAAAGGAGTGCGAGCGTGAGTGGGGCCGGCCGCCCTGCCGCCATGCCTCACCCCTGCTGCCACACCTGCCTCTGCCACCATGCCTCACCCTGCCACCCACTCCCCTACCCTGCTGCCATCCCTCACCCCTGCCACCCACACCCTCTCCTGCCATCACACCTCACCCCTGATACCCACACCAGCCCCTGCAACCATACTGCACCCTTGCCACCCACAGCTGATCCCTACCACCCACACCCCACCCTGCCTTGCCGCTCCTCACCCCTGCCACCCACATCTCATCCCTGGCGCCCACGTGTACCCGTGCTGCCCAACCTCAGCCCTGCCGCCCAGACCCTCCAACTCTGCCCAGACACCCCACTACACCCAGACTCTGCAGGGGCCCAAGTACTGCCCAGGGCCCCCTTTTCTGCCCATGGCGCTGCCAGGCTCTGGGACTAACTGCTCACCAAACCCTTCCAGCTGCCAAGCCAGAGAAGCTGGCGAGCCGCTGCCCACTGTGCCATGAGAACTTCACCCCTGGGGAGGAGGTGAGGCACCCCGCCCTGCCCTTGCCCCTACCCCTACCGGGATGGGGGAAGCTGCCTGGTACAGTGGGGGCAGCCACGCCCTCTCAGGGCTTCTCTGTGCCAGGTGCCTTGGCTGCACGGGCTCAGGCTCAGATCACCGCCCCTGCTGAGGCCCATGTCCTCCCTTTTGTGGGAACCGTGGGGGCCCTGTGGTGCCCTCCCCCGCCCCCCGACAGTGCTATCACCTTGCAGGCGTGGAGGGCTCACCTGATGGGTCCTGGCGGCTGCACCAGGAATCTGCGCAGGACACACGTGGCACCCAGGGGACCTGCCCTGCCCCCGGGTAAGCACCTCTGGCCAAAGCCTCTGCTGACAGGGCCCTCTGTCCAGTCCCATGTGGTCAGGCCTAGAGGCCCTGCAAGGAATTCCCAGACTTGCCCCTGAGGTGTTTAAAGAATGGAAAATAGGGTATGTGTGGGATACAGTCTGCGGGCACCATGGTGGGCACAGACACTGCCTCGGGCTATCCCGAGGACCCCCACGCCACTATCCTCCCCGCTTAGGCCAACCCTGGAGCCTCTCCAGGGCTGTGACTGCCCGTGTGACACGTATCTTTCCACCTCAGGCAAAGGCCCGGTAGGGATGAAAGCAGTGAGCGCCGGCGCTAAGATGGGCAGTAAGATCCCCACCCCAAAGGGTGGCCTGAGCAAGAACTCCAGCCGGACCTACCTGAAGCGGTGATGGCGTGACCCAAGCACCTTCTGCCAGAGCCGGGCATCCTGGGAGCCCTGCACTGCCCACCCCGGGCAGGCCCGCCCTGTGCCTGGGATGTACCCCCATGTTGCCGCTGCCACCCGCATCCTCACCCTGCACAGCCTGCCTCCTCCGCCCAACACGGGGGCGTCCGGACCACCCCCAGCTGCACCCCCACGCCCCGAAGCCCCAGCCCCAGGCCACATGGCCGTGGGCTCCGCCCGTGAGATCAGAAATAAACTCCGCACAGACCTTCAACTGCTCCCCTGCTCCGCCTCTGTGTCCACCCAACCCTGCCCACACAGCTCTGCCCCTGCGCATCCCAACAGCCCGAACCATGAAAGCAAACCAGAGACCGTGGGAGGGGGGCGGGGCATGGGGGCTGTTGGCATGGGTGCCAGGTGAAAGGGCCACGTGGAGGCAGACAGCCTCTGACAACCTCTGTCGGCCGAGAACAGGGTGGGGCCTCGGGGTGGGGCCGCAGTGTCACCTACTGGGCGGGCACAGCCCCAGCCACTGCCCCTGCAGCGAAAAATAGGTCCTGGCCAGGCGGGCAGCTGGCGCGGCCTTGGGTTTCCAGAGAGGATGACCGCTGTGCCTGGCCTGACAGCACAGACACTTCCGCGGATGGGAGAAAAGGCACCTGGGAATCATTCTCTGCCCTCCAGCCAATGACATGATGGTTCTCTCTCTTATAACTAAATTTGTTAGAATATTTCACTTTTCAGCAATTGGCAGCAGCAGATACTTTTCAAAGTCTGAGGCTGGAGGGTTATGAGAAAATGAGAAAATCATGTACTTCCCTAGGAATGCCTCCTGGCTGTGACCGACAGCCCTTAAAACCTTCAGTCAGGCACCATAAGGAACCAGGGTAACGGCACTACAGCTGTCTGGAAGCAGATCTCTACATTTGCAACCGTGATGGCTTACTGCATTTTTGTTCATGTTGTGAATAGTTAATATTTGTTTTGTTTATCATTTCAGAATGCACCTACTAAATCTAACAAGAACTGTAGCTATACATTCCGTATTAGAGTACAAATGTAAACACTTTTGATGAAAGTTTGCAACTTTTTAATGTTTTAACCTAGTTTTCTATTTGTCTTTATTTCAGGTACAGGATTACAAAATAGCCAATATATTTTTGTTGTCTTAGAGCTCAGGGGCTGTTCATTCCCTGATGTCAGTGTAATAAAAGTATCACTGGATGTTTGTCTTTTATTTCAAGATTATAAGAAGCAGTGGGTCACTGGCCCAAATTAACAGCCAAGAAAGTGGGGGAAGAAGTTCGGGGGGCGGGGAGGATGCACATGGGGGGGTGGCTGCCTCCAACCCCTTGGGCACTGGCCCTTGGTGGGGAAGTGGCAGAACTCACGCTGCCCCCAACCAGAGCCCTGCCCCTTGGTCTGGACAAAAGGACCTAGAATGTTCTTTCCTTTCTGATGGATCAGAAAAGGAAAGAACTGCGGGGCCTGTCACTGGGGAAACAAGGCAGAAACAAGCTGTCCGCCCTCCCACACTTGTTTTATTTGTGTAGTCAGGACCCAGGGGCTGCTCCGGGGACAGGGAGGCTGCCCCATCCCGGGTGGGGAGGATGCAGGGGCGCCCGGCTCTGCTGCCCTCAGTGGGGAGGGTTAGCATCTATCTGCGCCCGTTCCAGTCTCGCAGGCACCACCTGCCCTACAGGGGGGAATCCATGAGGCCCCCGCGGTGAGGTCACGGGCCAAATATCGGCTGAAGACTCTTGCTTTGTGCTCCGTGGGCCCGGCGGCCTCCTCGCGCAGGCGCCCCGGGGGACAGCCGCTTCTGCGGTGGTCACTGAGTGGCGCCCGGCGGCGCTGCCGCCGAAGAGAACGCGCCCTCGGGCCTGCGGGGCGGCACTTCCACAGACCGCCGGCAGAGGGCGCGCTTCCCCCGGGGCCCGCGCGGCGGCGCTCTAGCCCCCGCTCGGGCCCCGCCGGCGCCGCCCTACCGGAAGAGCCGCGCCGTGCCCCGGAAGCGCTGCGCGGCGGGGGCGGCGGCGCGATGGCGGCGGCGGCGGCAGCGGTGCCGAAGGGCTGGCCCGAGCTGGAGCTGGCCAAGCGCGAGCGGCGGCGCGAGCTGCTGCTGGCCGGGCCGGGGCTGGAGGAGCGCGTGCGCGCGGCGGGCGGGCGGCTGCCGCCGCGGCTCTTCACGCTGCCGCTGCTGCACTACCTGGAGGTGAGCGGCTGTGGCTGCCTGCGCGAGCTGGGCCCGGGGCTGGCGCAGGGCCTCCCGCAGCTGCACAGCCTGGTGCTGCGGCGCAACGCGCTCGGCCCGGGCCTCAGCCCCCAGCTCGGGCCGCTGCCCGCGCTGCGCGTGCTCGACCTGTCGGGCAACGCGCTGGAGGCGCTGCCGCCGGGCCAGGGGCTGGGGCCGGCCGAGCCGCCGGGCCTCCCGCAGCTGCAGAGCCTCAACCTCAGCGGCAACCGGCTGCGCGAGCTGCCCGCCGACCTGGCCCGCTGCGCACCGCGCCTGCAGAGCCTCAACGTCACGGGCAACCGGCTGCAGGCCTTCCCCGCCGCGCTCTTCCTCCCCGGCGCACTGCCGCTGCTCAGCGAGCTGGCGGCGGCCGACAACTGCCTGTGCGAGCTCAGCCCCGACATCGCCCACCTGGTCGCGCTCAAGGTGAGCGGGCAGGGCGGAACGCGCGGGTGGGGGGTCACGCCTCGCCCCCTTCCCGGCTCCGGACGCCCAAGGCGTTGGCGCGCCACCCCCGCCCCCCGCCCCGGCCTCAGCTCACACCTGCCGGGCGAGATGCGGGGTGCGGCACCTCCCTGCAGCCTCAGACCTGGCGGGTGGGTGTGCCCCCTCCCGGCTGTCGCCTCCACCGCATTCCCCCCTCCAGCACACCAACCGGCCACTTGGGGGCGCTCCCCTGGCGCTGATCGGGGTGCAGCCGCCGCGCCCCAGTGTGGCACCCTCCCTGCTCCACCAGAACAGCCCCGCCCTCCCCTTTCATGGGCATCCCTGCAGACTCGGCCCTGGACCAGCCCTGTTAGGGCATGTCTGGCACAGGGCTTGGTTCTGACAAGCCCTGCCCACCCAGATGGCAAGGAGTCACATGCCGCGTCCCAAAACAAAGGGGTGCCAACGCAGGGGCTTGGGTGACATGGCCTGGTTCTGTCCAGTGCCGGGACAGGCACAGATCTGGCCCCCCCCAACACCTCACCCCAGCTCCCGCCCCACACACAGCTGTACCCCAGCTCCCCCCACAGCTCTCAAACTCCTCCCCCAGCTGCACCCCATCTCTGGCCACTGCCCCTTGCACGATTCCTTCGGCACTTTGGCCTCTGCTCTTTCTGGTTCCTGGACCCTCTGGGCAGGGCCTTTTTTTCCTGCAGAGGTTCCGGCACCCCAACCGCACTGATCTTCCTCCCTCCAAGCGGTGCTTGCAGCTGGCCTCAGACGGGGCTGTGGGGCTGCAGAGCCTGGAGAGGTGACTGGGGTCTTCTGTCCACTGTCCGCAGACGCTGGACCTCTCCAACAATGAGCTGAGCGAGGTCCCGGCCGAGCTGGCCGACTGCCCCAAGCTCAAGGAGATCAACTTGCGCGGCAACCGGCTGCGAGACCGGCGGCTGGAGAAGATGGTGGGCGGCTGCCCAACGAAGTCCATCCTGGACTACCTGCGCGCTGGGGGCCGGGGCGCGCGCGGCCGGGACAAGGACGAGGGTCGCAAGAAGAAGAAGGAGCGGCGGCCGCGGGAGGGCGGTGAGGCGGACGCGGTGGACGAGGCCTGCCGCTTGCTCCTGCGGGTGCTGCCCGCCGCCGAGAACCCCACCCCGCTGACTGTCAGGGTCAGCCCTGAGGTCAAGGATGTGCGGCCCTACTTCGTGGGGGCTGTGGTCAGGGGCATGGACCTGAACCCGGGCAACTCGCTCAAGCGCTTCCTCGCCCTGCAGGTAGGTGCGGGTGGAGGGGCAGCAGGGATGGGGCTGGCTGGGGAAGGGATAGGCTGACACTGTGCCCGTGAGGGGACCATCCCCTCGAGGGTGTGGCCTGCCTGGCACTGACCGGCCCTGTGCGCAGACGAAGCTGCACGAGGAGCTGTGTGAGAAGCGCACAGCGGCCACCATCGCCACCCACGACCTGCAGACAGTGCGCGGGCCACTGCTCTACACCGCGCGGCCACCCCAGGACCTCAAGGTACGGGCTGTGGCCACGGCGGGGACCCCCCAATCGTCCACGTCTAGTGGCTCTGTCCAGCACCACTGTCTCTGCCCCCAGATCATCCCCCTGGGGCGCAAAGAAGTGAAGGCTCAAGAGCTGGTGCGGCAGCTGCTCCTGGAGGCCGAGGAGCACCGGAAGCAGAAGAAGCGGCAGAACGTGTCAGGCCTGCACAGGTGACAGGGCAGCAGTGCCCGGGAAGGCGGGTCATCGCAGGGCATCCCTCCCCCGAGGTCGGGGAGTGGGCCCAGCTGCGGTCCCAGGTGGCCAGGCTGTCCCTCCCGGGGAGTCAGTTGGAGTGTCCTGCCGGAAGCACCGTGAGCAGGCACTGTCTGACCAGCGCCCACCCCCAGGTACTTGCACCTGCTGGACGGGAAAGAGAATTACCCCTGCCTGGTGGACGCCGACGGCCAGGTCATTTCCTTCCCACCCATCACCAACAGCGAGAAGACCAAGGTGCGCCCTGCCGGCCCCAGCGCCCGCCCCATGCCCGGGCCTGCCCTTGCTCACTGGCCTTCCTCCCCCAGATTAAGAAGACCACCTGTGCCCTGTTCCTGGAAGTGACCAGTGCCACGAGCCTGCAGATCTGCAAGGACATCATGGACACCCTCATCCTGGTGAGTGCCTGCCCCGGCCTCGGGCCCACTGTGGCCTTGCCCCCAGTAAGGAGTGTTTTTCCTCCATGAGCAGAAAATGGCAGAACTCAACAAGTCCGCCGTGTCCGGTAGAGAGGACGGGCCTCTGTCAGACACGGAGACCGAGACCACTCCAGCCCCTGCGCAGCCCAGCCCGAGTCCCCATGCTGAAAGCGACGGGGAGGGTCCACTGGTGGTGGAGCAGGTCCGCGTGGTGGATACGGAGGGGCAGCTGAAGGTGGTATACCCCTCCAAGACAGACCTGGACCTGGGAGCTGCCCACGTCACGGTGCTCCGCTGAGCGTGGCCTTGCGCCTTGGGGCTGCGCTGTGTGCGTCGTACCCCCGCTCCCCATCCATGCTGCTAAGGGACACCGTGTCATTGTGTGCCTGGGTCACCTGGCATGGTGGCATCCGTGTCCTCCTGGATCTTCCGGATCACAGACACCCACAGACGACTCCCAGCGTGGCAAGCGCGCAGTGGGCTGAGACGCTCAGTTCTCAGCAGACAGGCGCAAGCGGGCACTGGGCATCCCTGTGAGGGGTCCCTTCCAGCCCCACCGCCACCCCGGATGAGAGCTGGACAGCGGTGGGAAACGGCCTTTGATTACAGTTTTCTAACCCAACCCTGGTGCTGGTGTGTCCTTTCCTTCATTTTGTTTCTAGTGCTCTCGGCAGACGCCAAAGCGTGTGACCGAGCACCGAGGGGACATCGGACCTTGCACCCGATCAGAGGGTGGCTCCCTCTGGGCATGGCCACCTGTCTGGCTACACCCGCAGGTGGCCAGGTGCTGTGTGTGGTACTGAGGGATCCTAGAGAGGCGGGGGCTGGCTGGAGTCTGGGAGTCGTCATCCCTTGGGGCACTGGCGGGTGGGCTGGGGGGCCCCTGAGCTGTGGGGGCCAGCGTGCGCATCCATTTGTCCATCCCACTGAAGGCTCCGTCACTGCCCCCACAGCAAGGGCCACAGTCTGCGTCCTTCCATCCTCCTCCACCAGCACCTCCTGAGGGCCCCTTCCTGGCCCCGGCTGAGTTTGGACCAGCCACTGTCTGGGGACATTGAGGGCCATCAGCTGCCCCTGCAGCCTCCTGTGGCCCTCGGGCCGCCCTGTCCCCAAGTCTACCCCTCCACAGCCTGGAGTCTGGAGCCAGCACATGGCCTCCGCACTGGACTCTGCCAGCACCTGGGGCAGCCTCTGCGGCCTGGCCCCGGGGCCCCGGGTCACACCCTGGACCTCTAGCAGAGCAGCAGGCGGAGCCTGCAGGATGCTGGGGGCGTGTCCTTACCCGGGCCCCCACCCTGCCATGGACCACACCAGCCCTGGGAGCATCTGAGCCCCCCACCATCTGCATGGCTGGCTGAGGGTCCCTTGGACAGTAGCCCCTGCAGAATGTCCCTGCCACCTCTGCTCTGACCTGTCCACGCCCCTCTCCCCCTGACCCCGTGTGCAGCTTGGGACAGGCGCTGTAACTTGGGGTCCTGCTGGCCTCTGACTCAGCCAGGGGCTGGCCCCTGATGTCTACCCCCTCGGACAGCTTGGGGGGCCACTGAGCTAGGCCCCTCGTAACGTGTCAAGCCTCAGGTGAGGTGTGAGGGGGCTCCCGGGCCTTGGGGACTCAGCTTTGGCCTCTGTGGCCGGGATGTTGTGGTCTCCGTGTCCGACGAGATACCCAGGCCTCTCATGAGGCCACGGTGTCGTCATTGTCAGAGTGGACAGAAGGCAGGACTCGACCAGGTGGGACGGACAGAGCTGGCCACGATCACCCTGAGGACAGCCCATCTCCCCGCCGTCCTTCCAGCGGCGCCCACTGGGACACAGTCGGGAGCATCGCTGCCGGTGTTTAATGAGCCCTCAGGCTGGGTCACTTGCATTTGTGCACGTAGTAGCCGGTGACGTAGCCCAGGATGAAGATGGCCCAGGCCAGGCCCAGCGCGCCCAGCGCCTTCACAGCCACACGCAGCCTCCCAGAGAGGCCCCAGGGAGCACCCGGTGGGGCCGCTGCAGCACCCAGGAGCCTGGCGAGGAGGAAGAGGAGGGTCAGCCCCGGGCGCAGGCAGGTGTTGGCATCTGGAACAGGAGGAGCAAGGACACAGGCGGGGAGGGGGGAGAGGCCGTGCTGGCCCTGGGGGCCTCACCCGCGCCAGCTGGAGGCACTCCCGGTGCTGGGCTCGGTGTCCATGCTGACCCCGGCCTGGCTGCCCGGCTCCCAGCGGCTGTACTGGACGTTACTGTCCTGTGTCTGCATGTAGTCCTGGGGGCAGGGCGGTGAGGGTCGGCAGGGCCACAGGGAACAGGAACTGTGCATCCCTGTACCCCCCGGCCGACATGGCTGAGAGGCCCGGCCTCCTCCCAGCAGTTCCTGGGGCCCTTGGGCGCAGTGCCACCACGCCACCACCTGAGACGGGGCCGTCACCTGCTCCCCCTCCCTGCTGCATTCCTGACCCGCCCCCAGGAGGCCACTGGGCAGGGACAGCAGCTGTACCCCTGCTGGCCCCCATCCAAGTGGGAGGAGCCAGGCAGGGGCCACAGCCAGGCAAGGACTGGGGGGCAGCTGCTGGCCCTCACCTGGAGGGCTGGCGCTCCTCAGGGCAGCGACGTTTCTTCCCTGGACACAGGCTTAGAAGCCCCGCAGCCACAAAACTGCAGGAGCCTGGCGGGAGCTGAGCCACCGGGACGAAGGGACTGCTTCCAGCGGGAGCACTCACTCTCGGGTCAGCGCAAGGCCTGCTGTAGGCTGGGGTGTAGACTCCCCACCTCGGGGCCCCCTCCGTCCTGGGGACAGATCCCCGGGGTTTTAGCCCCAGGTGAGCGTCACGAGCTAGGACAGCCTTCGTACCCTGGGCCTGCTTCCTGGCGTCACTCAGCTGTGAACAAGGCAGGGTGCAGGGGGCAGAGATCCTGAAGACAACAGCCGCCTCCTTTGGCCTTCCTGGGTACGATGGCCGGGCCCGAGGGTCTGCCCTGCCACCACGGCCATGCCAGAGCCGTCCCGGCTGCCCACTCAGCTGCTTTGCAAACCCTGGCCCACGAGGGAGGCCGGGGCAGCTGAACCCTGGGCTCACTCCCTACCTGTCCATGTTTCCCCAACCCCACCTGCCGTGGCAGAGCCCGCAGGGGGGGTGTCCGGGAGCCTAAGGCAGCCCACCTGCCAGAGGGTGTCAGCAGGGAATCACACCCCGTCACTCCCCAGCACATCTGGGGGGCCCACAACTCACAGGGAGGTTCCCGCAGGAGAGTTCGGGAAGAGGACAGGCCGGGGCTGGCGGCTCCCCTTGGCTGGGCCGGGAGGCTGATGCCTCCAGCCTTGGGGAGGGAGAAGGAAAGCGAGAGAGAAAGCAGGCGTGAGTCTGGCGGGGCAGCGAAGGGCTCAGGAGACCCCTGCCGGGGGCCAGCAGGAGCTACTGCCCCCGTCCGCCCTTGTGGCCCCGGCGGTGATGCAGGGACACTCCTGCATCCCCAGAGAACCCCGCAGCCTCTTACCGGTGCTCCTTACTCGGTGCAGACTCCGGCAGGACTGGTGGGGCGGGGCGGGGCCTGGAGGGGCGGGGCTTGGGCGGAGTCTTCCGGGGCGGGGCCGTTGGGGCGGGGCTTTCCGGGGCGAGGGCCTCGGTCGCAGGCCCGGTGGGTGTGACCCGGGTGTCTGCCCTGGGCCGCGGGGCTGCGCCAGGAACCGCTTCCCCGACCCCTTCGGGTGGTGTGCAGCCCGCGCTGCCTGCGGCCCTTCTAGAACAGGCTCAGGCGCAGAGTAGGGCACCCCGAGCTCGCGGGCATTTCAGGGCTTGGACAGGAATTCCGGGCGCTCCCTGTGAACGGTCCTAGAAGCTCCCGGCCGCGGGGGTCCTACCCGCCACGGGCTGCGGGGGAGCGGGAAGAGCCGCCCAGCCCCCCTGCAGGGTCACAGAGCCCTCAGCTTGCACTCCTGGAACTGAGGAACTGGGCACAGAGTCCCCACTTCCCCCAGCCCCAGCAAGGCTGTGAGCGGGCCGGGGGACCCTTGAACCGGGCCCCGCGGCGCCCCCAGCTCCGAGGATAGTACAGCTGGGACCTGGGGCTTCTGGGTCCCGCTCGCCAGCGCTGCCCCAGGACGGAAGAGTGGAGGGCTTCACCGAGGCTTTAATCCTGAGTCAGCCATGCTCGCCTGCAGGCTGCTGAGGCCCCTGGGCCTACTTGCTGGTGGCCTTCTTGGCCTTGATCCCTGACTCCGAATGGTTCAGTTGGGCCGCCCTGGGCGGCCCCTTCTGCTTCAGCTGGCCCAGGTGCTCGCTTCTCTCGCTGATGATGGTCTAGAGGAGAAAGACACCAAGCTCCAGCCCCACCCGGCGCAGGCAGGGGACCCCCCACTGTCCGAGATGGCCAGGTGCTGAGGCTGACCACCTACAGGGGGTGATGGGCAGGGGTGAAACAACAAGGCTGTAACTGTGATCCCTACCCCCTGGGCACTGCCCCCCACTAGATAGGGTAGGAGGGCCGAGCTGGGGTCCTGGTACCTTGGGGACACAAGAGGGGACAACAGAGGGGATTCCATGGGGGAGTCACTGTCACTGTCCTCCCATTGTTCATTGATTTGCTCAAGCGAGCCCAGTAATGTCTCCATCATGAGACTTGTTGTTACTGTGTTTGGCAAATTGAATACGTCATGGGTAGCTTGCCAGGCTCTGCTGTGCAGGCGAGATACTCTCGGTAGCTTGCCGGGCTCTCCGAGAGGGGCAGAGGAATCGAACCCGGCTCAGCAGGGCCGGCTGCGTGCAAGGCAACCGCCCTACCACTGTGCTATGGCTCCAGCCCTCCATGGGGAAGTAGGACACTAAATCACCTGAGAAGTAGGGTGGGACCACGAGGCCCCCCAGTCTTATGATGGGGGTGCCTGAGGCCACGGGACCTGCCTTGACACCAGTGCATATACCCGTCAGCACTGATGCCCACACAACCCCGTGCGGGCAGCTGCAGTGGGCACCTACAGGGGGTCTGTGAATGCAGCGCCAGTGCTAGCCAGGTCAGCCAGTAGCCTGAGGAACACAGACCCCACAGCTGCCCCTGCTCCAACTGCAGGCTGGCTCCCAGCACAGGAGCATTGTCAGCTGACACAGCTGCTGGGGGAGACGCCCCGGGGAGCCCGGAGCAGGGCATGTGCCTGGGACCCAAGGGTGGCCATCTCAAGGTAAGGAGAATGGACAAACCCGGGGCGGGGGGCTGCGGGCACCGGCTCTGGGCAGAGTCGCCCTGCAGGGAGTGACCATGAAGCACAAAACCAAGCAAAGCACCAGAGAAAGGGGCAGGCAGAACCAGAGCCAGAACGTGGACACACCTGACAGGCCAGTGGAAAGAAAATCTGGGAAAGGTGAGACGAGAGTAAGGCCGCAGGGGACAATGCAGAGGCAGGACACACACATGGCAGGGCCCCAGGGGACGGGAGAGAAGGAAAAAGAGCCTGAGGAGATAATGGCAGGGAGTCCCCTACTGGGCAGACACATCCAGATGAAAGCAGCCAAAGAGCTCCGAATGCACACACATACACGCCCTCTCAGGCACACACATAACACATGCGCACACAGACCCACATTCACACACACACACAGGCAGTGACACATTCACACACACAGGCACAGGCACAGCAGTGACACATTCACACACACAGGCACAGGCACACACAAAGGCATAGACACATGCACTCACACAGTCACACACAGGCAGATACATACACACATTCACACACTCAAGCACATGTCATAAAGTGGTAAAACTGGGAAACACGAGGAGAAACAGAAAGCACCTAGAGAGAAAAGCATCACTGGCCAGGGAGTCCCAGCCACCGCGTGGGTTCCACAGCCACCCAGGTGGGAGGGTCGGTGGGGCCCGGGGCTCGGCATAGAGGAAAGGCCTGAAGCTGGGCGAAGCTGACAGGGGTTGCAAGGAGGACTAAAGGGACTCGTGAAAGGCAAAGAAACCACCCCTGGACCTGGGAGACACTGCAGACAGTCACTGTGGCAGAAGGGGCCTTGAGTGAGCAGGCGAGAGCAGGAGTGCAGCCCAGGGCCCCCTCAGAACTGAAACCCACCCGGGAATGACAGCCAGAGAACTCAAACACGAAAGAGTTGTCAGAGTAAATGAGACTCCAGGAACAACAGCAAAGAGACTACAAAAACGGCTGATAGATGGATTTCACAGTGGCCCAGACACTGTCAGTGACAGGGCTGACAGCTTGCGGGCAAGCCTCATCCTGGCCATTCGGGATGTTTTATTTCATGGTTCTTTTCTCCATTTCCTTGCCTTCCTCTTCCCTCTGTCACTGTGATATTGTTGTGGTGTTATTGTGTTGTGCTTTTGTTGTGGTCTTATGGTGTGGTGTTCTGTTATGTTGTTGTGAGTTGTGTGTTATTGATGTTGTGTTGTTGCTGTGTGTTGTGTGTTATAGTGTTAATGTTGTGTTGTTGCTGTGGTACTATGATGTGTTATGTTGTGTGTTGTATGTTATTGTGTTGATGTTGCATTGTTGCTGTGGTGTTATTGTGTGTTGTGCTATGTTGTGTGTTGTGTGTGTTATAGTGTTAATGCTGTGTTGTTGCTGTGGTGTTACGGCGTGGCGTAGTATTGTCTTATGTTGTATATTGTGGTGGTGTGTTATTGTGTTGTGGTATTGCTGTTGTCTGTTGCTGTGGTGTTGTTATGGTATGTTGTATTATGTTGTGTACTGTGGTGGTGTGTTACTGTTTTGTTGTGGTGTTATTGTGTTGTTGCTGTGGTGGTATGGTGCCGTGGTGCTGTGATGTGCCACTGTGTATTGCGGCACTGCAGGTGTCACCAGAGGGTGCACGCACACCTGGCCCGTGCTCCCCAGGGCTCACACTTCCCTTTGCTGCCCTTGAGCACGCAGCCCTGGGTGCTTCCCAGGCTCCAGCTCCCACTGCCCTATCAGCAACTCCGCACACACGGAGAACACAAGGAGAACACACGGAGCGGAGGCCACCCCGTCAGGAGCCCAGCCACAGCCAGACAGGCCAAGTCTGAATGGCCAGGACGGATGGCAGCCAGCAACCCCTGGCACATGCCCATTTGTATGGCCAAACTGCAGCTGCCCAGTGACCCACTGCAGACGCAGGTGAAGGGGGCATGCACGCAACACCGGACACAGGGGGCTGCGGCAGACGAAGTTTGGGCAGAATGGAAGGAGCCTGAGTGATGGAGCAGGGACAGGGTTGGATGATTCTCCCACTTGTGCACGGAGGGATGGAAACGTGATGAACAGACAAAACAGCGGAAGGAACCCAGGGAACTCTGGCAGTAGAACTGAGGTGAGCAGAGGGGGCGCTGGGGTAATCAGAGCGAGAGGGTCTCACGGGTGGGGAGGGCCGGCCTCATCAGAGTCCCCTGTCCATCTGCCCGTCTCCACGCGGAGGAAAGGGGCACGTCCCCTGCCGCCAGCTGGTCTCCGCTCCCACCCAGCCTCTTCCGCAGCTGTTGGATATTGACCCTAAGCATCAGTGAACTGCCCCTTTTCCTCCCCCCCCCCCCCAGAGAAGCTTACAGTGCTCTTACGAGCACCCCCCAGTCCCCTGAGTTCAATCTTAACCTTTCCTTTGTGCTTTATCTCTCATTGCTACCAAGCCAGTCTTGGTTACTTATAAGTCAAAACTTCTGGTGATTCTGGATTTCCGATATGTAGTAAATTATTTGCTTTTCTATTTCCCCTATAGCCTTTTCATATTTTACTACAGAGCAACCTTCTTTTCTTAAACACAGAAAACCCTGTGCTCCTAATATTTGGGAGTTGATTGACTCTGAAATATATCTACTCCTGAGCTTCCGTCCTAATTACCTGACTCAGGCTTCGGTTGCTATAGTTTCTAACACACCCCCACCCCATAAAGGGAGAGGGTCCTACTTTAGGACCTGGAGGGACCTAGGGCAAGCAGCAAGCTTGGAACAGTCTAGAAAGCATAAAAGCATGGTCTTGATGCAAGTTATTATGACTTAAGACACAGGCCCCCATAGGGAAGTACAAGCTGAACTGGCTTGAAGATCTAGTCTGGGATTTATGGTAAAAGCCCTTAGAGCCCGGAGAACTAAGTTTTGGAATCTCTTACTGTATTTATCTAAATAATTGCAAGTATTAATAAGAAGTAAACTTTTTTTTTTGGCTTTTTGGGTTACACCAGCGATGCACAGGAATTACTCCTGGCTTTGTACTCGGGTTGAGCTTTCCTCCCCGCCCTGGCCAGGGCCCCGGCAGCCGAAGACCTCCAGGACCAGCCACCACCATGCTGAGACCACTCTCCACACACCTGAAGGTACCGGCAGAGGGACAAAGCCACGTGGGTTCAGGGGCCGAGATCTCCAAGCCTACTCGGATTGGAGTCGAGCATCCTCCACCCTCCAAATTCCAGTAGGCGGGGGTCACACCCACCAACTGGCCCCCTGGCACCGTGTAATCCCATCAGCGGCCAAGACTCTGATACTATAAAAACCAGTTCCTGGAACTGCGCGGCCGCACTTGCGGCCGCACGACATCTTATCATGACATCTCATTCCTACTTTGACAAACTGGCAGGCTACCGAATGTAGCCTGCCCACACGGCAGAGTCTGGCAAACTCCCCGTGGCGTACCCAATATGCCAAATACCAGTAACAATGATGGGTCTCATTCTCCTAAAGAGCCTTGAATATAACCTCAGGGCCAGGATGAAGGAGACATTACTGGGGCCTGCTCGAGGCAATCAACGAATAACAGGATGATCTGTGATCTGTGATTTGTACTCGGGAATTACTCCTGGCAGTGCTCAGGGAACCATATGGGATGCTGGGAATCGAACCCAGGTTGGCCATGTGCAAGGCAAACACCCTACCTGCTGTGCTATTGCTCCAGCCCCAATAAGAAGTAAACTTAATTGTTTAATATGTACAACTAAAGGGAAAGAGAAGAGCAATATAGACGTCCCTGGGAGACAGAGCATCTCCTTGAGTAAGTCCCCCAAGAACCTCGAACCCCTCACATGTGCTATAAGCATGCCAACGGCTCTGCATCCGATGGGCTGTTTGGACCATCAGCCCGTGGTCCCCCACCTCTTTGCTCCTCTGCTGGGGAGGCCCGGGAAAGTGGCTCTTGGCCCCCAAAGGAACTTGGTGTGCACCCCCCACACTTTGAGCTCACAGACCCCCCTTTCTGCCTTCCCTCCTTCCTGTCTATCCCCTCCTGACCCCTTTCCTGCTCTCCTTCCTCCCGCCATTCTCCTTTCATCATCCCCCAGGCTGCAGAGGTCTCCCCACCCGCCCTGGGCCACCCGCCAGCCCACCGGGCGCTGCCCACCCACCTCATCACAGCAGGGAGCCAGGCCACAGGGACTGGGGTCAGAGGTGCCAGGTGGGACATATGCCTGCCCAGCACAGTGGCGGGACTCACGGCCCAGGGCCAGGGGGCAGGTCCTGTCCCCCCTCCTTGCTGCCTGCAGGGGGCCTTGCCAGGGTGCAGCCACACTTTGGGGTAAGGAGCGTCAGCCTGGTCCCCGCTCGGGGCCGTACCTGTAGGGACTCGAGGATATCACTGTCCGTGATCTCAGCGGTGATGGTCTTGTTCACGCTGGTGCTGCTGAAGGTGGCCTGCAGGATCTTGTTCCTCAGTCTTTCCAGCTGCAAGCCGTGTGTGAGTGATTGTGGGAACCTCGCCATGAGGTTCCCAGCGCCATGGGATCAGCCCCAGGAGGGGCAGTCCTGGGGCACACGGGGCTGGACAGGAACGTGCTTCCAGAAGGTGACTTTGGCCCTGGCTGGAGTTAGATGCTAAACCCAGGTCAGCACTCCCCAGCATCTCTGCACCCCATGCCGCGCCCCTCCTGACCCCATTCAGAGGCGCCCCATCCCGTGGCCCGGCACGCAGGGTCAGTTTGGGGCTCAGTGCGCTGGGCCTGCCTCATGAGTCACCTGTTTTGCTTTCTTAGGGTTCAGGGGTCGTACCCAGCAGTACTTGGGGGTTTCTGTTGAATCTCTGCTTGGGACCCGCTCCCCAAACAGCGTTGTCAGTGTTTGGGGGGCCATGCGGTGCCAGGGGTCAACCCATGTGCTCCAAGACCACCAGGGCTGCCCCAGCAGTGCCAGGACCAAGCCAGGGCCCCAAGCACAGTCTTCCCGCCCTTGGTGGCTAGGACTGGGTGTGCCGAGACCAGCCCAGCAGCCTTTGTCACCACCTCCCCTGCCCCAGGGGTGGCTCACCCGCGCCTGGGTGCTCTCCAGGGCCACGCGCGTCTGCTGCTCGTCCTGCCGCGTGACCTCCATCTTGGCCTGCAGCTCCTCCTGCAGCTGCCCCCACCTCTGCAGCTGGCTGAGCTGCTGCTCCGTTTGTCCCTGCAGCCCTGTGACCTTGTCACTCAGCTCCAAGATGGTCTTGTCCCGAGCCAGCAGCTCCTCCTCCAGCATCGACACTTGCTGCGAGGGTAAGAGGGAAGAAGGGAGGGAGGTCACCCCCACCTCTGAGTCCCCTCCGGGCTCTCTGTGGTTCTGGGCTCTGGGGACAGTCACCTGTCGCAGGAGCATGTTTTCCTTCTCTGTCTGTCCCAGCAGCTCCACCTGCTTCTTCTCTTCTCGGAGGTTGGAGAACTGCAAGGCAGACACAGGGGTGCCAAGGCCAGGGTGAGTGAGCAGGTCCCGAGCCTCACTGAGAGGAAGGGGAGACCAGGTTTCTGCTGACCAGGGCAGGGCCCGGGGACAGGTAGGTTGAGGGACACATATGATAAGGGAGAAAGTTCCAGTATGGGCATTGTGAGTGTGAGAGATGAGAGAACGGGACAGAAGAGTCGGGGGAAAGGGCACCCCTGTTTTGCAGAGGGCCTCATGAGATTAGCTCAGAAAAATTGCCTGCCTCTAGGGGGACGGTGTGTTTCACCCCTCCGGAGATCACAGTCCACAGACACAGGGTTGACCAGAGGTCCCATGTGCCTGACCCACTCTAGGCCAGTGACCCAAGTGCGGTGGTCATCAGCAGACTGACAGGAAGCAGCGTGGACACGAGGGACAAAGAGGTTTGGGTGGGGCAGATTCGATGGCAGGGGCAGATGAGAGGGGCCGGCATCCTAGGAGGCGAGGGGGGTGAGAGGGGCGGAGCTTCCTGGAAGGGGCGGGAAGGGGCAGGGAGGATGAGAGAGGGCTGGACACCCTAGATGGGGGCAGGGTGTCCTGGAAGGGGGCGGGCAGAATGGGAGGGGCAGGGAGGATCAGAGGGGCAGGTTGCCCTAGGAGGCAGGGCGGGTGGGAGGAATGAGGCGCCCTAGAAGGGGGCAGGGCGGGAGGGAGGGGGCGGGGCACCATAGAAGGGGGCGGGGCGCCCCAGGAAGGGGCGGGGCGCCCTAGGAGGAGGCGGGGCGGGTGGGAGGGGAGGGCGGTCTATACTTGCCCCGGCGCCCACCTTGTCAGACATGGCCCGCAGCTGGTGCTTGCGCTCCCGGAGCTCCTTCTCCAGCTTCTCGTTTTCCGTGTTCACCTTCCGTAGCTGAGACTCCTGGTACTCCACCTGCCTCAGCAGTGTGGTGATGGCCCCTGCGCCACAGGCAGAGCCAGAGGGGATGGAGACAGGCGCCTCCTGCATTCTCCCCCGGACCCTGGAGCAGCCTGGGGCTCACCTGTGGCCAGGGAATAGTTGTTCCTGGTGACCTCCAGCTCCTCCTGGAACTCCTGCATCACCTGCTCCAGCTCCTGCAGCTGCCCCAGCAGCTCCTCGTGGAGCGCGTGGTCCATCTCCAGGGACCTCCTGATGTGCTGCATTTCCTGCTCCTCCTCCTCCTCCAGCTCCAGCACTTCATCCTCTTCCTCATCCAGCACTTCCTCTTGCTCCAGGACTAAACTGCTTCTGCTGACGCCATCCAGGTCTTGCCCCAGTTCCAGGTCCTCATCCTTGAAGTCGGACACTTCCTGCTCCAGGCCTCTGTCGCCCTCCTCCCTGTCGTCCTCGTCCTCGAGGGAGGTGCTGTCGTCCTCCTGCATCTGAAAGGCAGAGGTTCACTCATGCCTGCAGCAAGGAGTTCTGAACTGCCGCTGCAGCACAGGGGCTGGGGCCCCAGGCTAAGAATGCAGTTGCCGGCACCCCAGAACCAGGCTAGGGAGAAGATAGCCTTTCTTAGCACTACTCTCCCCACACCCAGCCCCCCACCTGGAGGAGCCCAGCAGGGAAGGGGTGCAGGTGGCACTGCCCAAAGTCCCCAGCACTGCCCCATTGCAGCGACTCTTTAGGGATGCCACCCTCCAGGTCCTCCTCCTGAGAGCCACCGGAAGCTCAGGTCTGTCCTCCAGGGAGGGGCAGCCACCATTTCATGGGGGGGACCTTCCCTCCTGCCATGGGCTGCTCTGGGTAAGGGACAGCAGTGCCCTGCAGGGGAAACCCTTGAGGGCTCCCTGGAAGCAGATCCATCTGGGCATGCCGCCTCAGACAGTCCCTGCCACGCGTCCTGTCCAACAGCCTCTGGGCTTCACAGGACAGGGATCATGGACGGCACCGAGCGACGCTGCGGGCTGCTGGCTGTGCCCACCGCCCCTCACCCTGTGCCTACAGGGCCCCCTTGCCTTGGGCAGCAGGCTGCTCTCCTGGCCCTTGGTGTGGAGCATGGCCCGGAGCTGCTTCCTCAGCTGCTCCTGCTTCTCCTGCAGCTCCCGGATCTCCTGGTCTTTCTTTTGCAGCTGCGCCTCCAGCCTGGAAAACCGCTGCAGCTCCTCCACCAGCATCATCAGACAGTGCTCCTGGGGCGACACAATGTGTGGACATCTGCAAGCGGACCTCTTGCCATCCCCACCAAGCCCCCCTGGGGACTTCCCAGAGCCACTGGCTGGCTCTCGGTCAGCCCCCAGTTTGACTGAGGACTCATGCCTTCCAGGCGCCCCATTTCCCCATCAATCCCCCCAGGGTTGGTGGGAGGATCTTCGGCCCCTTCTGCCCCGCATGGCAACTGTCATTCTGATTCCCCAGGAGGGGCTGGGGCGGACTGGATCCCAGAACCCCAGGGCTGGAAGTACCTTGTCATGGATGACAGTGATGTACCAAGGGGTCCTCTTCTGGGGGACCCTGTGCTCCAGCCCCAGGCTGCTGCTCACTGGGCTGAGACTCTCTGACGAGCTCCTGCGCAGGTACGAGAGCTCACAGGCACTCTTACTCACGGGCAAGAGCTGCTCTGGGGAGGGAAGGCAGCGCTGTCGGGGTAGTGCTCTCGGCAGCCCCAGGCATGGTGACGAGCTGTTGGGGCTCAGAGCTCAGGAGTCAGGCCGAGGGCCATCCTGGCACTGCCCCGCGTGTGTGACCTGGGCACAGCCTGTGCCCTCCTGGGCTGTTCCTCATTTTCCGGGCTGTACCCAGCAGTGCTCAGGGCTGACTCCGGGCTCTGCACTCAGACAGTGCTCAGGGGACCTTATGGGGTGCCGGGTCAGTTGTGTGCAAGGCCACTCCCTTCCCGCTATACTACCCCTCTAGCTGCATCAGTACCCCAGGTTTTTTTGCTTTTTTTTTGGGTCACACCCGGTGATGCACAGGGGTTACTCCTGGCTCATGCATTCAGGAATCACTCCTCAGGGTACTCAGGGGACCATATGGGATGTTGGGAATCGAACCAGGGTCGGCCGCATGCAAGGCAAATGCCCTACCCGCTGTGCTATCACTCCAGCCCCAGTACCCAAGTTTTTAGTTGAAAGAGCAGCTCCTGGCAGCCTCTGGGGTCCTGAGAGCCTAACAAAGGACCTCAGGGTGGGGGCCAGTTTCCAGTGAATTGGCCTGGGGCGGGGGCTGCAGGAAGCGCCCCAGACGCTCAGCCCTCACCCGCACTCTCTGTCCTGTGGAGCTTCTCACAGGAGACTGAGACCTTGGTCATGCAGGGGTACTTGAAGCCTCTGCCTGTTTCCTCGGGGACAGTCACCCGCGTTGGCAGACCTGTTGGGAAGCCACAGCTGGCCTCAGCCCCTTGGGTCTGTGCCAGAGTCCCTGCCAGTGACGGCGCTGTGGGGGGTTAAGGGCAGCCTCCGTCAGTGAGTAAAGGGAGGACACAGGAGACGGAAGTGGAGACGGAGGCCTGTCGGCAAGCCCATGGGAGCCACCCCTGTTGGGCCATGCCCGATAAACCCCTCCTGCCCACAGAAAGCTGGATGCTGGCTCTGTCTGCAGGGACCCCCTTCAAGTTTTGTGAAGCCTCTTTACCCCGCATGCTCCATGTGCCAACACTGGTGACCCAGGAAGCAGGCCCCGATGTGCAGTGAGCAGGCTCAGATGGGAACCCTGTGAGGATGTCTGCTGCCTTCCTCTAGGCCACTGCGGTGCCTGCTGGAGGGTTGGCCTCAGGGGGCGGGGTTGTTTGAGGGGCGCAGCTCAGAGCCCAGAGGGATGGGTGGGTTCCTGACTTTTGCCCAAAGTCTGTCTGGGATCCATGAACATGAGCCTGGTTCCAGGCCCAGGCCTTCCCCGGGACCTGATGGGGGCCACCCAGGCCTTGGACTCCTTGGGGAACCCCGGGATCTTCACTGCCCAGTGGGAGCCTCAGTGCCTTCAAGGGAGCAGACCTTGGTGTGGTCGGTCCTGAGGCGTCTCGTGGGAGCTCTCAATGCCCTGTGGCTGTGCAGAGTCTGTGTGCGCACCCAGGAGCTCCCACCTTCTGCCACCGTCCACCCACGCCCCCCTCTGGCCCCAGCCTGCCAATGCCTTTGATGGAGATGGCTGGTTGGGCACTGATGGGCACTTCCTGGCCCTGAGGCCTCACCACTTGCCCTGCCTCTTGTGTCTGCAGCTACTACACCTGCCCCACTCCTTGAAGGCAGCTATGCTCACCGCAGTGGGACATGGATGTGGCTCTGGTGTTCAGCTGGGGGCAGCCGGGACGCTTGAGAAATGCCTTCTGCAGCCTCTCCATCTGGGACATGAAGCCCAAGTCCTGCGGCTTGGTGTCCTGTAAAGTACTGACCTCACTCTAGCCAAGAGGGAAAACGAGGGTGGGCCTGAGAGAGCCCCCAGGGGCCACCCCAGCCATGTCCACCCTGCGCAGACCCGGCCAGCCCACCTGCTCAGGGACCATGCCCTTCTAGAATCCCTGCCCTCCAGCACCGAGCAGATGCAGGAACCCACTGCCCTCTATTGCTGCTCCCAGCTGGCTCAGCGCCCTCTGGAGGAAAGTGCACACCCCCTATGCCGGGGAGACCTTCCTGCAGTCCCATAGGCCCCCGACTACTTGCATGGGGAGGAGGGTCACACCCGATTGTGCTCAGGGTCCTGGGGGACTGGGAATGCAGCCCAGGTCAACTGTGTGCAGGGAAAATACTGCCCCACTGTGCTGATCTGGGCATCCCCTACCATCTTCCTATAGTAGCGGCTCAAGGCCTTGGCCGACTGGCTGAGGGACTGCTGCCTCGGACGGAGTTTCCATGTTGGAATCTGGAACTCGACCCTGCTGTTTTCGTTCTTCAGGATCACCAGGCCTCTGGCCATTGAGTGGGGTGCCATGCTGGGCTTCCTGGTGAGGTTGGTTGTGCTTGGGAGCATGTTGGTGGAGGCCCAGGCTGGCTCTGCAAACACACTGTTCACTCCCAGTGCTTGGCAGCAGCAGGAAAACAGCTCCGAAGGTGCCTCATCTTGGGGCATCCGGGAGCAGAGTGTGCTGTCACAGACATCTCCATAGAAACAGGGGTGTCGCTCCTCTGAATTTTCAGCTGGTCAGGGATGCTATGGTGACTGCAGCTTAGCCCCATCACATCAACCCCCCACACACACACACACACAGTCTCCCCCAGACCCTGCCTTAGGGTTTGTTACAGAGGAAATGAGGGGGCTCGCAAGTAAGGGGAACATTAAGTTAGTTTCTCAAATGGGATCCAGTTGGTGGATCCACAGCCCAATCAGGTAGCAGAAATAACGAGAGGGTGGGAACTCAGGTCACCCCATGGGAGGGAGTGTTACTGTCCCTGGGAATTTCAGTTAGTCCAACATCTACATATACTATCTGATTGGTCAGAGGATACAGGAGATCTGATTGGTGTGACCAATGAGCTGGCAGAAACAACTAAGGGGACGGGCTATGTAATATCTCCGTGTGCAGATGGCATACTGTGTGGTATAAGGAAGAAGAGTAGCTGAGGGCACAGGAGCTAGGAGTGGAGGACAGAGGATAGATTTGGTCTGCTGGCCAGGACACAGAGGGTTTTGTTAATCCGTGGAGACAAACCTCTGAGGGCTGGTACCTGGTGAGCCATGACAGAGAAGAACTGAGTGCTAATCTCACTTCCTTCCTGGACACTGGACCTCAGGTTGGCAAAGGACATGAAGAAATCCTCAGAGGGGCCAGGAGATGACTCAGTGGTCAAGGTGCAGGACTCTGACATGTGATCCCTGACACTGTGTTGTCCCCTGAGCACTGCCAACTATGAGCCCCAGGTGCGAGTGGGAGTAATTCCGTAGCACCACAGGGTCGCCTCAGTGGCCCTGCACCACAGCCCCACACCCTCAGGCCCTCACATTGACTGACGGAATTCCCAGGAGGGCACCCAGCACCACTGGGTCAAGCTACTGCCTGATGATTTTCTTTTGCACTCGTTCTCCGAGTCCTGCCCAACTTCCCTGGGTTCTCAAATTTTGGTTTAACCAGGAATATCCTCTTCCCAATAAAAAGCCGCCAGACTGTGGGGGTGCATGATGAGATGGAAGGAACTGGCAGAGCCACGCAGCATAAAGATACAAAACCATGGAACCACAGACCGTGGGGTCACAGGGCCATGGAACCACAACGGGGGGTCATGGCCACAGGACTGTGGACCCACGGGGCCATGGAGTCACGAAGCCTTGGGACCACAGAGCCAAGGAATGGAACCGTGGGGTCTCGGAGCTGTGGAACCATAGGCTCACGAACCCACGGGGCCATGGAATCGTGGGCACCGGAACACAGAGCCATGGAACCATAGGGCCACAGGAGGAAGGAGCCACAACTCCCAGCCACGGTACCATAGGCCCTGTGCAACCACAGGGGCAGAAGCCACTACGGGCATGGAAGCAAGTCGCTTCCGGGGTATAAGGGGAGAAGGGGTATCGATAGCAAAGGGTGGGCATAGCCCTGCTTTCTGCGCTGAGGATGTTGTTCTAAAATTCAATGAATGAGGGGCCAGAGCGATAGCGCTGGCCTTGCCCGTGACCAACCCAGATTCGATCCCTGGCATCCCATATGATCCCCCAAGCACCACCAGGAGTGATCCCTGAGCACGGAACCAGGAGTTACCCCTGAGAATTGCTGGGTGTGACCCAAAAACCAAAAAAAAATTTTTTTTAAATAAAATTCAAATGGAGATGGCAGCAGAGAGAGAGGGAAGGAGAGGGAGTGCTCAACAGACTACCCATATACTTTGCAAACAACAGGCTCCATCCAATTCCTGATGCAGCATGATTTCTGAGCACTGCCTGGGGAGAACCTAGCCAGGAGTAGCCCCTGAGCACTGTGTGTCTCCCCTCCCCAAATGCAGAGGGACTGGAGTAATAGCTCAGTCGGCCAGGTAGTACTCTCATCAGTGAGTTCAGGTCCCCCACCAACCCGAGGCTTTACATTCTGCCTTAAAACCCCTTGGGTCTGAATGGGGGTGCTCCCATTCCCATCAGCGATCCTGCACCCTGTGACTCATATCAGCTCCGGTCACATGGGTATCCTTGCTGGGGTCACTGCACTGTGAGACAGAGCACACGTGACAAGCCCTGCAGGTCTGAAGGGGCAGCAAGCCCCTCTCCTTCCCCTCTCCCCCTCTCCTCTCTGTCGCACAGGCCCAGCCAGCCCTCATGACCTCTGGGTCCAGGAGGGGTCCTTTCCTCATAGACGCAGACAGAGGTCAGGTGGGAAAACCCAGACACAGTTTAGAGCTTTGTGCAGAGCTGATTTGTGCAGGACCCCAAATGACCACCTGAGATGGATGAGGAACTGCCTGGATCCGCACTGTCCCACAGCCCCCCACCTGCAACTGGAGGTTGAAGGAAAGGTACCCCAGCTCTCAGGGCCTGGGAGCGGAGGGGTGAACCAGCTTCATTCTCTGAAGGAGGCACTAAAAGGAGATAGGCACAAACTCACCTTCCTTGTATTTTCTACTGAATCACGGTAAATTACAAAGCTACAAAAACATTTACAATTGGATTTCAGATGTCCAGTGTTCCAAATAGCACTCTTAACCTACCTCTGCAAATATCCCCAGTTTTCCTTCCACTTCCTTACTTTGTGGATTTTTGGGAGCGATAGCACAGCGGTAGGGCGTTTGCCTTACAAGCGGCCAACATGGCCGACCCGAGTTCGATTCCTCCGCCCCTCTCGGAGAGCCCGGCAAGCTACCGAGAGTATTTGATATGCGAGACACAGTAACAACAAAGTCTCCAATGGAGATGTTACTGGGCCCGCTCGAGCAAATCGACGATCAACGGGAGGGCCACACCCAGTGACACTCGGGTTACTCCTGGCTCTGCACTCTGGAATCATTGTTGGTGGTGCACAGGAGAACATTTGGGGTGCAGAATCCAGGTGGGCCATATGCAAGGCAAACGTCCTCCCCACTTACTATGACTCCGACTGCAACTTTCTTTTAACTAGAGATAAATACCATATTACTGTTGTTATTTTTTTTAGGTTTGGGGTCACCCCCAAAGTCCTTGAGAGGATTTTTGGATTTCTCTTGGTTCTGTGCTCAGGGGTTACTACTGGCAGTGCTGGGGGACCACAGGTAGTGCCAACGATTAAACCAGGGTCAGGGGCTGGAATGATAGCACAGCAGGTACGGCGTTTGCCTTGCACGCAGCTGACCTGGGTTCGATTCCCAGCGCCCCATGTGGTCCCCTGAGCAACGCCAGGGGTAATTCTTGAGTGCAGAGCTAGGAGTGACCCCTGTGCATCGCCGGGTGTGACCCTCCAAAAAAAATAGAAAAAAAATAAACTAGGGTCAGCAGTATACAAAGCAAGTGCTTTACCCCCTGTCCTGTCTCTCCAGCCCAATTTTGTTGTTTTGAATGTTTCTTCTCTCCTTTCACTGTTTCTGTTGTGAAACTTCGCTGGGGTGCGCAGGATTCCAAACAGTGCAGCCCCTGGCATTGCCCTGGGCATATGATGGCATTGCCCAAACTCAGTCTTATAGCATCAGGCTTATCAGACAGGCACTCCATCATGAGCTTCAGGCCCTCCAAATGAACTTCCTTCCTCTCTCCCGGCTCTGCACTCAGGGTTCACTCCTAGAGTGCTTGGTGATCATAATTGATGCCAGGAATCGCACCCAGGTGAGCCCCATGCAAGGCAAGCACCCTACCTGCTGTACTATAACTCCAGCCCTTTATATCTGTTTTCATCTGCAACAACCTGACAGTGCTCAGGGCTTTCTCCTGGCTCTGTGCTGAGGGACCACACCTGGCGGTGCTCAAAGAAACATGTGCGCCCGGAGGATTTGGAGTGGGGTCTGCTATGCACATGGCACGCTCCATAACCGCTGTATTTATGCAGATCCAAATTCGTAAATATACAGTGCCCTTCCACCAATCAGGGAGATTGAACTCGCGACGGTGCTGCACGTTGGGGAAAATGAAAAACCACTGGAAGGCGGAGAACTCAGAGAAAAAGTGCAGCCAGATCTTTGCACACTGGCCACTGCCGGGCGTCCACATCCCATCTACGGAGACACATCCCCTGCCCAGACCCCTCCCCACTCGTGCCCCGCCCCTACACCAGAGTCTTAGACCACCATAGCCAGTTCCGGGTCATTGCAGGGTCGCAGGGGCCCTGAGTAGTGCTAGGTTGGCGCACTCGGCAGGAATGGTGCAGATGTGTTTCCTCCGCTGGTCTCCCGGCAGGGACACCGCCTGCCCCTGCATCCCCTCCTGGCAGAGGCTGGGCCTGGCGACCCCGTGGTCAGGGAACCACCGGTCGGGCAGCACACGACCTGCTAGAGCGGGGGAAGGGGCGTCATGGGCTGGTGAGGGTTCCCACCCGGCCATCTCCGCCAACAAGCCTGCTGGCTGCAACAAGCTGAATCGTAGATTTCTGACCAGGCTTGGTGGGGGGCTCGGGGTCCTCAAGGGAGAGCTCCAGGAGGACGTGAGAAGGGACGGCCAGCTACTGATGGAACCGCTTATATGCTCAGGCTCATACATTTGCATAGAGCACGAGAGAGCACCTTATACGGCAAGTCCATATAAGGTTATCTGTGATCTGATTGGTTGTCCCATAATCCCCACTTGGTCACCTCATAGGCTTTATTTACATAGAGCAAGTGCTAGCGTCTTGCAAGACCATATAAGGACATCTGTGATCTGATTGGTTTCCCCATTCCCCACGTTCTTATTTGCGTGTGCAACCAGATTGGCTGTTTATAGATGACCTCATACGTTGCAGCCAATAAGATAGCAGAATCAGCTAATGGGGGGGTGGATACGTCGTATATAAAAAGCCAGGGCACTGGCTAGAAAGGGTCCTGGGATTATTGTTGGGTCTGATGCTAGTCTTCCTAGAAGGAGAAGCAAGTAGTAGAAGTGGTGAGTAGAATGGCAAGAAGAAAGGAGTGAGGCAGTAATTAGGGTTCTCCAGATCGAGGTACTTGTTTCCAGGGCCACTGCAGCCTGTAGAGTTAGACCTCCGTGAGCTGTTAAATAAAAAGCTGCTGAGTCCGAACACAGAAAAGCTGTGGTGTGCAGCATGCTATTTATCTTAAGTGATGTCCAGAAGAACCCAGCACAGGTGGTACAATGCTGAGATTTGCGGGTTGGAGTATGTAGAACGCCCCATCAGACTTCTCTGTCCTCTGCTCATTTCCTTCATAACAGACGTAAGGGACAGAGAGTGTGAGGATTCTATGCTGCTTGGGTCCCCCATTGCTTCTCTGAGGACCACATGGTGCCTGACCCCATACTATATCTCCCAGCTCCTAGAATTCTTTTAACAGATCTGCCTTTTGCTCGCATCTAGAATATTACTGCCTCAGATTTGCAGTAAGCCCAGTGCAGCCTTAGATCAGATCAGTCAGGTTGGGGATTTCTGATGTCCCCAAGGGTGAGTACTTGCTTTAAATACTTCCCTTTCTCCCCTTCTGCCAGTGCTGAAAGAACCTGGCCTAATCCTTTGTGGATGGTGCCTGAGGTGGCCGTTTTGAGGTCCATACATAGGCCCCTCAGGAAGTGTCTCTAGGAGAGTCAGGACTGAGCCCTGGGGGGGGGGAGGAGTGTGTCCATGGAGGACAGGAGGATGTGGGTCTCCAGGTTTTGAGGGGCCACCTGGTTGGGAGGTTGTGGGATGGGAACCAAATGGATCCAGCTGACCCTGTCATTGGAACATGTGCTTTATTGTTACAAAACCAACACTTCCCACCAAAACACAGCTAAAAAAATAACACGTTTCTCCAAGATTAAGTTACCAAAAGAAGTTGTTAATATGGCTGGAATGTATCCGTTAATACTGCTTGAAGAAGCATTATATTACATTAAAAAACACGGGTGATATGGGGCTTCGAAACCTTAAAGCAGTAAAGTGCTTTACCGAGCCTGCCGGAAGGGCAGTTGGTGTTAAGAACAAATTACTCTGTTCAAGTTTGTGCGTGTAGGGGAACGGGTGCGGGCAGCACCATGCAGACCTGGGGATCAGCCGCTGGTAGCAGCCCAGGCCTGGAGCTGGGGCCGGCAAGCTGGACACCGGCAGCTTCTCCTGGACTCCTGCTTCTGGCTCAGATGTCGCCAGCTCGAGCCCCACGACCTCTCTGCTCCTTCCTGTGGAGTGCCTCTAGCGCAGCTGGGGAAGCCTCTGCCTGACCTTTGTTCTTCCCGTATTGTTCTGCAGAACACGAGTTCAAACCCACAGGACTGCTCCTGTCAGCTGATGATGCCCTTACCGCAGGCCGAGCTCCGCACCAACGACTGAGTCTGCTGTGGGAGAAAAGGCCCCGGGTTGTGGGTGCCTCTCAGGTTTGTGGGGTATGCGGGGTGCTCACGGTCCGCTCCTGACGTCCTGCGCCCCGCCCAATGTTTCTGTCCATCGTGTCTGCACTCCTGCTTCACTGTGTTTGCTGGAGCCTGCAGTGGGGTCTCTCATATCCCCATGCTCCAGTCCCAGGCCCACCCAGAAAGTGCCGGGAGAGACGAGGCCAGGCTGGGGGACTTGGCTGCCTCTCTGTTCCTGGAACCCCAGGGTCAGAGCTGTATTCCTGAGGCTCCTGCATGGTCAGTGGGGCAAGTGCCGGGCTGCAGCCTGGCTCCATCACAACCAGAACTTGGTCTCTCTGTGCTTCAGTTCTCCTCACTGTGGGACAGCAGAACTGCATCCTTACCCAGCCTCAAGACGGAGCCAGGGCAGCAGGCAGGCAGGTGCCTGCCAGCCTAGGAGGCCGTGTGGGCTGCACACGATGTGTATTTTGGACTGACCAGAGGTCCCCCAGGAGCAAGGGCCCTTCACCCGTGGGAGCTGGCTGCTGGTCCTGGCTCTGTCCTGGGCACCCCGACCACCCTGATGGTTGCTTTATCAGGTCACACTGATCCTGTCTGGGTAAATGGCTGAGGACATCTGCATCCTGCAAGTCCAGGATCAGTCGGATCAGGACTCCTCCCTGCACCCCGTCTGGACACCTCCATGAGGCTTCCTTCTGTGCTGCAACCCCCTGAACCCTTGGGTTGAGCAGAGCGCTCCCCACCTGGTGCTGGACCTTCTGAAGGGCTTGGGCTTCCGCAGTCCAGCCCCAGCAGGCTGGCTCTGCAGCCCCTACCTGCCCAGGAGCCTGAGCCCACTCTGACAAGGCTCCACAGGGCAGGAAACCCTGTGCCGTGGACAAGGCCCACCGCTGTGGTGGCTGGTCACCCCCTGGCTGTACCGGCAAGGGTCAGAGCACCTCAGAATGGGGTGCTGCCTCTGAACCGCCTGCTGTTCCTCACCTCAGTCAGAAAGGGCGCAGACAGGTTCGCCTCACCCCTTCCTCTGCACCTCAGGTCTGAAAACAAGCCATGGAGTGTCCCCAGTCTGCCCTCGGCCTGCTGGTCCTGGCTGAGGGGCGGCTCTGTTCTGAGCCACCCCCGGCTGGGGTGCCCACTGGCACAGCCGCCCCTGCCCACCACCTCCAGTTCCTGCAGAACTCTGCTTCTCCATTGGGCAGGAAGGGGTGGAGGGGTTGAGCCAGCCGTCACGTGTGAGGGGGTGGCCAGACCCTCCAGTCCAGCAGAGGGCTCCGGCCTCGGCCAGGGAAGGCCTGCTGCATGGCCGAGGGGGGTGCACCCCACCCGAACGCTGAGTCCTCGAGGGAAGGCAGGAAGGAGCGTGTGAGCGGAGCGATTGGGGCCATCCATGCCACTGTCTGCGGGGCGGATGGGCATCTTCTGGGCCCAGCCCACGGGCCTGGCCCCCCGGAGTTTCTGGCCCAAAGGAAGTGTCTGGGGTGGGGGGGCTGCGGTGCACGCCCCTCAGTGGACTTCGCTCTCCGTGAGTTCCTCCTTGATGGGCTGCTTGCGGGGCCGGCAGTCGGGCAGGTCGAAGCCAAAGTCGGCCCACTCATCAGGCACAGCGGGGCCACGGTTGGGGATGGTGATGGTGTGGCGCACGCGGAAGTGCACGGCCTCCATGACGCGCTGGCGCTGCAGCTCGCCTGAGCTGCCGATGGAGATGGTGGCCGCGTTGCTGCTGGAGCGGATGAGCTGCTGCGCCGCCCCATAGTCGGGGCCCTGCTTCAGGTCCTGCAGGCCCCGCCAGATGGTCATCCGGTACTGGTCCGGGATCTTCAGGGCCCCCAGGTCCTGCGGAGGGCGTTGTTGTTGGAGGTCATCCACTGGCTCCCCCGCCCCAGACCCGACCCTCAGAGACAGAGCGGGCCCCCACATGAGGACTGGCCTGGCCGGGGCCCAGGGATGGGATGCCAGTGGGCTGGGGCCTGGACAGGACACTGGCTGGAGCTAGTGTGGCTGCCAGTCTCCGGATGTGGGCCATTGGCCGCTCTCCTCGATTAATGCAAGGAGAACCGCGGCAGTTGCCTGTGTGTCCAGGAAAGCGATGGCTGTGGGCCAGGCCTTGCTGTCTGGACCTCAGTTTCCCCAGATGAGTGGTGCTGAGCTGGATCAGCCCCAAGACCCCCAGCCTTTGCCCTCCTTACTTCAGTTCAGACTGTAAAAGTCTGCGCCCCTCATCCAGAGATCCTGCCTGCTCTTCCCCCGCTCACCCCCGCCACCATATTTGCAGCTTTGCCTGGAGGCCTGGGTGGGAGGTGGCCTCAGCCCCCAGAGCGGCAGGAGGCGGGAGGGAGAGATGCTCATGGGCATACCTCTATGGTCAGGTTCTGCAGGTGGTAGATGTTCTGTAGCCCCTGGGAGGTGAAGTACTCAATGCAGTTGGGGCACCCCAGTCCATTCAGGAAGCTGCAGTTAGACAGAACCAGCATCAGCCTCTCAGTTCCAGCAACATGGCCCCGCCAGCCCCCACCTCAGGGCCATGAGTGCGTCCAGGGAGCCCCTAGGTCTCTCCCATAACCTCTCGTGCCTCTGTCCAGGCGGACAGGGTGACAGCTCAAGACAGATGCAGGGCCCACAGACCACATACCTGACCAGGCTGGGGTCAGCATGGTAGGGAGGTGGTGGGGTGCAGTGGGACCCCGAGACCATAGTCTGGGAGCTGTGGGCACCGTTCATCTCGCTGTTGGCTGGCAGTGCCTGGCCGTGGTGGGTGAGCATCCCGGCGCCTGTGGGAAGCAGGTCCCACCATCAGGGAGGGGAGGGGAGGGGATGGAGGGTGGTGGTGCCAAGTGGTGAGCAGGGCACCCGAGAGGGGTCAGACTGTGGGGGTCCCTGCCCAGCCCCCTGGCCCACCACTTACCCATGGGACCCAGGCTGGGCCCTGGCGCTGAGCCGTGCGGGGGAGGCTGGCCCACCAGCTGGGTGACAGAGGGCAGCTTGTTCACGCCCCCATGCACTTTGTTCGCTGGGGACAGCACTGGCCCATAGGTCGTGGGCTGCAGATGGCTCCTGAGGGACAGACAGCTGCTTTGGCCACATCACCTCCACCACTGGCCCCACAGTGAGAGGGAGGTAGGCTGGCTGGAGCCCCCCCCCCCCCACCCGCAAGAGAGGCTGTGTGAGCTGGGAAGATCCTGCTTGCCCTCCAGCAGCAGAAATTTGGGGGCGGGAGTGATGGACCTAACCCGAGTAATTAAGAGGCTTTCCAGAGGGAGTACTCCAAGGGGTGCTCCCAGCTATCCCAGCTGGGGGACCCACACTGAGAGGACATGGTTTCTGGTGCCCCCGGGTGGGTGAGCAGAATGGGGTGATCTTGGGAGATCCCCCTCTCCTAGGCCAGAAGGCATGTTGGGAGAGCCCTCCCTCCTGTGGACAAGGAGAGGCTCCTCCCCCAGTGGGCAGGTGAACAGGCTCCTCCCCTGTGGATGGAAAGGCTCCTCCCCCCTGGCGGGCAGGAGGCCCCTCCCAGGGCGGCACTCACGGCCTCTGCAGGAGCTGCTGCTGCTGCCTGTAGGAGTCCACCAGCGGCTGAGGCACCAGCTCCATGAGCTCCAGGCTCTCCTTGACCTTCATCAGGATCTCAAAGTTCTCCCGGCCCCGCACCTGGGCGCACACAGACAGTCTGCCCAACAGCCCCCCACAGCACCCACGGTGAGCACCTGGGTTCCCCCTCTTCTTTCGCCCCGGAGTGGGTCCAAGCACCCACCTTTCACTGCCCCATCTCCAGTGCAGACGGGGTGCTGGGCGGGGGGAGGGGGGCAGGTGCACTAACAGGGACATTAGAATGGGGGCTCATTCCAGAGCTCCAGGAACTGGGTGGGTGCCCACGGAGAAGACCCCGCCCCCCAGAAGACCAGCTCGGTGCTGGGATGTGCCCCGACTCCGGTCAACAGTCTGGCTCTCTCCTTGAGACATGCACCCCCAGGGCCCTGGGCCGCTCACGTGCAGGTAGTACATGTCCTCATCCCCGTGCCGCCTCTTCTTCACGTTGGTGCCGAGCGCAGGAATGGCAGGAGGGCTCTGCTTGAAGGCTGCGCGGGGGAAGGGCCGGTCTGTCCCCTGCACTCTGGACCCAGCAGTGCCCAGGGCGCCCTCCATGCCCGTGCCCGCCCTTGCTCACCGCGCTTGCTGGCGGCCCCGTTCTTGGTGGCGCTCTCGGTCAGCGCCTGCTGCTCCCGGTAATGGTCCTCGTCGGCCTTGCGGTCTCGGCCCGGACAGGCACAGATGCGGCCCTCAAAGGACCTGCGGCCCAGCACCTGCCCACTGTGGGGGCACAGAAGGATTATGCTGGGGATCTTACTGTCCAGCCTGAAACCCTTCCCCAGATTTGCCTCGCTCCTGTCCAACACCTGCCCCTCCCCTGTCCCTCACCAGCCCCTCCCCTCCCTGTTGGCCAGGTCCCCACCACCCCCCCCCGACGCCCCGCTTACTCTCGGGTCTCCAGGGTGATGATGATGAGGATGGGCCTTCGGTTCATGCCCCCCACGCAGCTGCTGTTGCACATGAAGTTGTAGAGGATGGTGGTGAATTCTGTGCCCACCTGCATGCAGGGCAGCAGTGTGAGTGCCAGGGCGCAGCTGTGGCTCCCTCGGACACCTCCTGCCCTTAACACCCTCCTGTGCTTCCCGAGAACCACCTTCCTGCTGCCCTTCAGCCGTGTGTGTCCCCCTCCACCTGCCCATCCGCTGTCCAGCAGCGTGTCCCTCCCTGTTACTGGCCTTATCCTACCAACACTTGTGGCAGGCTGGCTGCCATGGTAAGGGTGGCTCTGGGGCCTGTGCTGCCCCGGATGGACACGGGTATGTTTCGCATGTTGCGGGTGTGTGGTGCATTCCTGGCTAAGGGGACAGCTGGCCAGCAGCCCCTCTCCCAGCCCACATGTCTGGTTCCCAGGAACTCTGGGTTCCTGAGTGGGGTGTCCCAGAACCATGGCGTGGGCTGTGGTGATGGTTGCCTGGTACCGGGTGGGAGGATCCAGACAGTGGACAGAAACAGCCAGGCTTTATGGAGTTGCCTGTGTGACGCATGGTGGCCACCAGAGGGCACACGAGTCCCAGGTTCTTGGTACTGGCAGAGACGCAGGTGCCAATCACACACGCACGCACACATGTGTGCGCATACGCTTGCCAACAGGCATGCTTTGAGAAATAACCTGGGTCAGAACCATCCGTTGCCTCAAGATACTGGCAGACCCCCAATGCAGGGGCTGGATGGGGGGAGGTGGGGTGGGATGGGCAAAGGACAGTCCCCACAGGAGTTGGGGACTCTGAAGCCCAGGAAGCCTCGGGATCCCACCTAACCCAGCCCTGAAGTAGGGAGATTTGTGAGGGTGTTACAGCCACTCCATGGGGGCAGGCATGTGACTCAGAGACAGGACAGAGGTCACCAGTAGCAGTAGCCCTGGGGGTCCCCCACCCTACGGTGACCTGACCTACCTGGGGGGGTTCGTAGGGCACCATGACGCTCTGCCTGCCGGTCACGGGGTCATCCACATACTGGGACAGGTTGTTGCCTTCCACACGGATGAGGTGGCTGGCTGGTGCAGACTGTCCTGCCAGAGGGGACAGCGCTTCGGAGGGAGGCCAGTGGCCACCCTGCGACCTGGTGTATCCCAGCAGGTGGGGACCACATGGCCTGGAACCCGAGAACTTTGTGGCCCATGCACCTGGGTCTCACCAGAACCAGGGGGAATAGGACAGGGCAAATGTTGCCCTACCTGCTGACCCCTTCCCAGCCCTACTAGCAGGGGCAGCCCCCCAGACCTGGTTAGACCCTCCCGTTGGGTGGTGTCCATGTCCCAAGCACTGGCCCTCACCTTCATTGAAGTCCCTTCCGAGCTCGTGGTTGGGGCAGCGTTTCACCACCTCGGTGACATGCTCCGCCTTCTTGTAGACGGGCATGGCACGGATGGCGGTGCCTGGGGGTGGCGGCGTGGACACCTTGATCTGGATGGGGCAGGTCTTGGCAATCTGGCAGTAGAGTTTCTTCAACAGCGGGGAGTACTGGGGGGTGGGAAGCTAGGGTGAGGCCGGTCACATGACTCCCACCTTTGCCCACCAGCAATGCTGGGCTGTCCCTGTGCATGCTTCCTGGCTGTTCTCTGGGTTCTTTCAAAGCGCCACTCAGCAGTGTGTGGCCAGCAGGGCTGGGAGGGTACTGTCAGTGGGCCCAGAGCTTCCTGCCTAAGTTGCAGGAGAGGCACGTTGGTGACCACTCAGTGGATGTGGTCAGTGGAGAGCAGGGGGCCAGAGAGACGGTACGGGGGTTAGACACTTGCCCTGCACACAGCCAGGCCTCACCCAATGCCTGGTACCATATATGGTCCCCCAAACCCTACCAGGGCTCCTTTCTGAGCCCGGCCAGCCGTGACCCCTGAGTCGAAGTAAATGAACTAAAACAAGAACAGGAAGGAGCTGCTGGGGACCCCATCCCTCTGGAAGCGGGGGTCCAGCATGATGCTTGTCTGTGAAAGCCGGGGTGGGGCTTTGCTGGGCTGAGACCAGGGATCTTCCTTGGACTGGGTGCCCCTCAGGGTGGAACTTGGGGTGGGAACCCCCGGGAATGGGGGAATTGGGGCACTAACACAGCCCTGGGAACCCACCTGCTAGGAGATCCCCTAGAGGCCCCTCGATCCTCCTCCCGTGTCGGATTCACTTCCTATCCCCCAGCCCTAGGTGGGGAAAGTGGCCGGGTAGCGTCATGGGGCCCAGCAGATGTTGGGCCTAGAGCCCCGCCCTGCTCCTGGGCTGCCAGGTCATATTTCGGCTGGTCCTCGAGTACAAGTGGAGGAGAGGCAACGATGGGGGTGCAGGAGGGGACCCCATGGCTCTGGGCCTCGCTGGTGGTGTCCTCCATAGACAGGGACCTCAGCAGGACGGGGTCTCCTTTATGCCCCCAGCATGACCCTGGCTGTGCCCGCAGCCTGGTGGCCACAGAAGTGAGGAGCCCAGCAAAGGTGTCCACAAGCCCTCCCCTTCGGTGGAGTGCTGCTGGGGCCTGGACCGTGGGGGACACCCCAGCCCCATGGGCGCCTGCGCAGAACACTTGCTCCCACAGCCCCGCCCCCACCATGGGCTCGGCGCTGTCCCTGGTACCGAAGCCAGAGCTGGGGGCTGGTGTACAGGCAGCAGGGAGCCAGCCGCGCACACGGCCGCGGGGGTCTTCCCAGGCTCTGGAGTGGAGGGGGCCACCCCGCCAGGCCCACTTGCCAAGACTGTCCTTAACTGTGCCCTGGCCGAGGACACACCCACCACTGCCCTCCAGCCTGGCCGGGGCTGGACCTAGTGTGGCCTGGCCGTGTGGGACAGCGGGGGTCCTGTGGCGTGTCAGGTGGTGCCTGAAATACCACAGTCCCAGGACCCGGCTGGGGAGAGGGGCATGTGCCCCCGCCCTCCTGCCTCGCCTTCCCCAGAACCGCTAGATGGATGTGTCTCAACAGATTCGGAGCTGATAAAATCTTATTTATCTTTGGCTGTTGACACGGACCCGCCCAGACTTGCCCGCGCCGGGATGGATGCGGTCGGATCTTTCTGCTCGCGGAAGCTCTGCCCAGACACCGAGCGTGCCCGCCCGTCCCTCCCCTTCTCACCAGCCCCCCGGTCCTCCATGGGCCCCGGCCTGGCTGGGAGGCCTGGCAGGGCTGGCGCGGGGGCGGCGGGCGCGCGGTGGCTGTTAATTTCCTTGCGCCCGCTCGCTCGGCAGCTGGGTGCCGGCTCCGGCAGGTTTGGGCAGGAGGAGCGGGAGGTGATAATGACTTGTCTGTCATTTCCCAGGGACGTGCAGCGTCTTGCAAACCGCAAATACCGTTAACCAGCTTGGGTGAATCTGCTATAAGACACTGGGAAGGCCGCCTTGCGCCCCAACTTCTCTTTTGTAAATGACTTTTAGAGCCACTCTCGCCTGCTTTGTGCGTGCTGGTACTCAGGCCCACTCGCGCCTCACCTGGCTTCCCGACCTGCCAGAGACCCTGAGTCCTTCCCTTCCCGGCTCCTAGACTCCTGGGGCTCAGCCTGTCCTGACCTGGTGTAGGAGATGCTCAGAGCTAGGCTGGTGTCACCAGCGTCGGGGATACTGTCACTCTCGCCTGCCCGCGTCAGGCACCTGGAGAGCAAGAGGGCCCCTCATAGGACCCAGCCGAGCCCACTGGGGCCGACACCCCTTCCCCTTGCAGGCCAGATGCCTGAGAGCAGGTGGCGTAGGGACAGGTGGCCGGGCCCCAGTGACCATCAGGAAGTCAGGGGGAGGGGCTGGCATAGGCACCCCCCCAAGCCAGACCCTGAACAGGGACCCCCCCCCTCCTGGGCCTGTGTGGGGGGAGAGAGAGTTGGGCACGGGTGTGGCACCCTGACGCTCTGTTCTGTCCCATCATCCCGAGTTCACTGCCACCAGCTGTCAGGACCCCCTTGTCCTGGAGAGGCACCTGAACCCCTCTCATCCATTCACCTAAGTGCCCATGGGGTCTGCAGGCTGGAGGGCCCCTCCCACCGGGCTTGTCCTGGACCCAGCCGTGTTGCCGTGTCTCCCTGTACCTGGGGGCAGACAGTCTGTTTCGAGGCTTTGGGGACAGGTCTGGGTTCATGGAGTTGGGGGTCCCCCCAGGGCTGGGTTCCCGTGGGTCCAGGTGTGGGGGTCTCTGTCCTGTGACTGCCCTGGCTGCGTCTCCTGTGGCCTCAGGCTCATGGAGAAAGTACTGGCACGGTCCCAGCCACAGGTTGGAGTCAGGCCGCAAACTGCCTGGCCCTGGGGAGGGCTCGGGGCTTCGGGAGTGTCCAGAGGCCTCTCAGCTACACTGGCGACAGTGGACAGGGGAGGGGGGGACAGCCGTCCCGGCCCTCAGCCCCAGCAGGACCCCTGCCTCTCGCCTCCCCGCCCGCCTGCGAGCACAGCTCCTCACCGAGGTGCCTGCCAGCTTCTCTGGCAGGTAGGAGGCTAGTGCCCAAATGTGTGGGTGGGCACGTGTGGACTGGTGCTCAGTGGGGCGAGGGCGAAGGTCTGCCTGCCCCCAGCCCCCCGGTCTGAAGGCGTGGTGGGAGTTCACATGCCCACCCCACCACATTAGGGTCTTCTCCAACTGGAGCAGGGCCCAGGGAGAGCAGCTCCCCGAGGCATAGAGGAAAGGGGACCCTGGGCCCTTGCTGCTCCCTGCCACCTCCAGGGCCCCCCCCCCCCAGTCCAGCCCTGAGACCCCAGTGTTTGCAAGAAGCAGGGTAGCCTTGGGTCTTGCTGGGGGCTGGGAACTCGACTTTGAGTCTGGACTCAGAGCGAATCTCATAGCAGATCCCACAACACTGGCCACAGGACACCCCTGTTTGGATCCCTGAGGCTCAGTCACCCGCACAATCCCTGGGTCAGTGTCCAAGCCCTAGCCACTGCTGTAGCCCAGGAGGACCCCACGTCCGCACTGCTGAAGAGGGCACTGGCCCATGCCAAGGCAACGCCGTCCCAGAAATCCAGCCTGTCCTGGACACTCATCAGCGAGGGGTGCAGGTCCTAAAGGGTTGGGGGGAGCAGCCTGCCTGTGGTCACCCCAGAGAGCAAGGGTGTCCGGGGTGCAGGACACCTGGGGGTGGGCCCCCTCATACCCATGGGACTCCCTGGGGTCCTCACAGCCTGCCAGGATCAGGGAGCAATTGCTCCTTTGACGATGCCAGGCAGGCACCCAGCTGCACCCACGTGCCTCCCTGCCCCCCAGTCCCTCTGGGGTTCAGAGGGGCTGTTCCGGGGTGCCCCACACCAACACACTTCTCTGGAATCCTTAGAAAAGACTCAGGAGACGGTTCTTCCTGCCACACCCATGGTGCTTGTCCACCTGAGCGCCAGGCCACCAAGCAAGCTGGCCCTGGGGCCACCAACAGGCCCCTCCCTCCACGCACCCAAGTGGCAGGAGGCAGGGGCAGCCCACATGCACCCCTGGGCTGTGGGACCTTGGGGATGTGTCCCAAAGCCCCGGTTCTGTGACCTCCTGGTCAAGGGAAGCCAGCTGGCCGGGACACGGGCATAGGGACATTCCCAGTTGACCTGTGTCCGTGTCCACGATCAGCATGTTAGCTCCGTGCGGCGTAACTGCATAATTGTGTCTGGTGCCAGGAAAGGTATTATTTCCACGTATGCATTCCATAAACTTTTAGGATAACGCAATTGATCCCTCGGTCGTGTTGGGACACCTCCACTATTATATTCCTGCTCACACACCTCCGAGGGGCTGGAAAGTTTTCTCTCAAATCCATCTGCGTTGACTCAGCCGCATTCTCCCGGGGCGGCCAGCCCTGGACAGACAGACCAGGACCAACCCCTCTGCCCCACACTGCCCGCCCTGACCGCTGATCCCCCCGACCCAGCCTTCCTGTCTGACCCGCGGCCCTCTCTTGGCACCCAGAAACCATCAACGACCCTCGCCCCACTGCAGGACCCCCGGGGCCTCATCCCAGTCACACCAGCGTTGCAGGGACAGAGGCCCCGGTAGCCCCCCGCCCTTGGCTAGGCTCTGTCTCTGGGGCCAGCAGGCCTGGACCTGGCCCTTCCCGGCACCTGACCCTGTTCCAAGAGGTCCGGGGAAGATTGGGAAATAGACCCTGTGCAGAGTCTCACCGTGCAGAGCCCCCTGCCCCCAGTGCTGTCTCAGACTCTTCCATCTTCCCTGTCCTCCGTCCACCTAACCCCCCCATCTGTCCCGGCCCTCGTTCCATCTCAGATTTTTCTCTGGCTGCAGCTGGAACCCCCTCCCCTGCTGACCCTCTAAATCCTGGACAGCAACCTGGGGACACCTGCAGGTGTGTGCGCACATGTGTGTGCATGCATGTTTGTGAGCTTGCATATAGGACGTGGACACATGTGTGCATGTGGTGCCGTGCCTGTGTCTGTGCCTGCACTGTGTCCCGAACGTGCTGTGCGCGGTGGGTGACAGAGGGAAGGCAGAGGACTGCGGGTAGGGGCTGCGGGGGATGTGGTCGGGCGAGCGCAGGCCCAAGGCCCATTAACAGCTGCGGTCACCGGGGCTGGCGAGAGGCTTGTCCTGAGCGAGACAGAGGAGGTGGATGGTCTGGAATCGCATGTGAGAAAGATGGGAATTATCTACCAGTTACCAGCAGGCTGGCCTGGTGGGGGTCGCACACAGCGAGTCTCAGGGGTCCAGTAACAAGCCCAGGCAGCAGCCGCACAGCTGGACCCCAGAGCTGGGAGCTGAGGTTGACCCCACCCCCACCCCTGGCAGGGCAGGAAGCCTGCAGGGGGCTGCTCCGGCAACAGGCGCCAAAGACTCATTCCCAGTGTTTGCTTCCCCCACCCGAGCCCCCCACACACTGCTGAGGGGACACACATACACACACACACGCACGCACACACACATGCACACACTCCTGCTGTCCCCATGGGCTCCACACAGGCAGGAGGCAGCTCCTAGGAGCTGCAGGGGCACGGGCAGAGCAGAGCCCTCCTTGCCCCACGATATGGCAGGGTGGGGTGTTTCCATCTTGGGCAGACCACCCCAGGAGACCCCCTGAGGGGCACTAGCACGGGGGCAGGGGTGGGGAGGGCTGAGGGCCCATGTCTCTCTTCCTGGGGGGCAGTTCTCCTCCGGAGGTGCCGCCAGCCCCTCATGCAGCGGCCGAGCTGCCCAGCAGTCTCAGACAGAAGAAGTGGGGACAGAACTTGGACCCCGGGCCTGACCACTGTGGGGGGCCACGGCGGGTGTCCTTCCCTGGGGTGTGCAAGCTGTTGTACAGTTGTACTGTCAGGAAGAGCAAGACACACGGGGCGTGGAATGTATGACCCCCCTGTCAGCAGCCAGGAAAGCCGGACTGTGGTCTGACAGGTCAGGCCCGCCTACTCAGGGAGCCCCAAGGACCCACAGATGCCCCAAGGCTACCTGCGTCCCGCCCACCTCCAGCCCCCAAAGGAGCGTGGGAAAACCGCAGCTCTGCTAGCCAGCCGGACTTAAAGGGGCAGAGCCCAGGCTCCGGGCACTGTTAGGAGGTGGGGGCTGGTGATGACGGGCCTGCTCTGTGGGGGGTGCTCATCCCTGATGTCTGGACTCAGTGGGTCGGAACTCGAAGTCCCATGCCAGCATCCCACCTGAGCACCAGCGCCGCCCCCATCCAGTCCTGTCCTGACTGTAGGCTGGCAGACAGTCCTGGTGTCAGAGCCCTGGGCACTCCCGGGCACTCGAAAGTGCTTCCAGGGGCCAGTCTGTGGGCTCCATCCCTCACCGCTCAGCCCAGCTGAGAACAGGCAGAGACAGTCCCCTGGACACCCAGCCACGCTGATCCCCGCTTGCCGAGAGCCCCCTGGGTCCTGTCACCCCCCCCCCCCGTCCCACACCACTGTCCCCCGAAGTAGAGCCCCACCAAGCACAGGGTCCCTGAGACCACAGCTGGGCATGAGGCTGACCAGCTCAGGCTACCCATCTGCCCCTGCCTGTCTGAAGGGTGGGCGTGCCCAGACTGTCCCCCCACTGCTCGCCAAGCCTCCCGCCGGCCAGGTGAAACCTTGCGCTCCACAGCCCTGGCCCTGATGCACCCCTGGCCACTCGACGCAGCCCTCGCCCCCCAGATGTGCCCCAGCACTCACCGTCCAGGTGGCCGACTTGGCCGTGCTGGATTGCTGGAAGGTGACCTCGAAGTGGTGGGGGCCGGGGTAGTCGGCGTTGGACGGGATGACGGGCGCGGGCGACATGGTGTCGAAGGTGGAGCTGGGCTGCGCGTAGGGCGAGTGGGTGGGCACGCTGGCCGCGTGCTCCGGGGTGTAGGGGCTGGCCGAGGCCGCGCGGCTGCTCATCTGGTCCATGGTGCTGCTCAGCAAATCGAACTGGGACTGGCGGGGAGGGCGGGCGCGTCAGGGGGCTGGGGCAGGTGTCCTGTTACAGGAGCCTTAAAGGGCCCGGCCCCGCCCGGCAGGCCACCGCCTGTGTGGGAGCCTCTGACACCTTCACCTGCCTGTCAGGGAGTGGGTGCCCACTGCAGCTGGGACAAGTGTGGGAGACCCGGCCGGGGTCCTCCAGTTCCGAGGCAGGGGCTCCGGGTGTGCAAGGCTTAGTGAGCCTGCCCCACCTGAAGGTCCCCGGGCCGCTCTCCTGCCCCTCCCCCAGGGAGGGTGTGGCCCTTTCCTCGCCCCCATGCCCTTCAGTGAGTGCAGAAGGCGGGGTGCCGTGGAAGCTGCTGTGGGGGGGGGCTTCAGGCTGCGGTGTCCATCATGCAGCTCCCTCACCCAGCCTGCCCCCCTGCCCTAACAGATGAGGAAACTGAGGCACTGGGGGGTGTGGCTTGCTCCTGTGGAGGCTCCCAGTCTGGGGTGCCCTGGGAGTGTGTACCAGTAGGCAGATGTCTTGGGGCCCCCCGGGAGGGCTGGGGACAGGAGCACCCTTTCACCAGCCTGTCTTCCTCCCACTGTCTTAGGGGGTTCACTGCTCTTGGGGGCCAGGAGAGCCAGCCCGTGCTGTCCCTGAGAAAGAACAGGGCTGGGGCACAGGGGATTATGGCACTGTCCCCCAGCTTTGCTCCCAGTGGGCAGACAGGCTGAGTGACCAGCCCTTGGAGGATGCCCAGAGCCATGGGTGTGGTAGCCATGGGACCCCCCAATTCGCTGTTCAGGGATTCCCCTGCCACACACACAAGACACGGCCCAGGGTGATGCGGTCCTCAGGTGACAAGTGTCTCCATGTCACTAGCCTATGACTACTGCCGGATGTCCAGGTCAGGTGAGTGGGAGTGGCGACCCATGAGCTGTTGTTAGGATGGAACCAGCCTCCGAGACTGGGACACACCTGCCACTCTGTACCCCGAGAGTTGTGGGTATCAGCACCGTGATGCGACCTCCCTGGCGCCCAGTTGGGACAGACACAGCACCTCTGGGGAGGGCAATGGCCAAGCCCTACGGTCCCGGTCCCGCTGCAGCAAGATGGTCAGTAGAACCCCATACGCAGGCAGACAGATGGTGCAGGACCGTGGCCAGGGTGAGGCCAGAGCATGCTGCTTCCACCTGTTTCACCCTGTTCAATTGTGTCACCTAGAAAATGCAGCGACTCATGTGGCCGATTCCTTCTGTGTCAGTTCCCTCCCGGGGCATGGGAGCGGGGCACACGTTCCTTGGGACGCGTGTGGGGGCACAGATGGTGGGGGATGGGGGTGCTAAAGAGGGATGAATGGCGGATGGTAGACAGAGGTGGGTGGACAGATGAGGGACAGACACATGGTCATGGGGGGGACAGATGGACACATGGGAGACAGATGGACAGATGGGGGATATGCAGACGAACAGACACAGGGACAAATGGACGGACGGGTAGGCAGGTAGATGGTTGAGGGAGTGGGTGGTGGGTGCTGGATGGGGGTGGGGCTGGAGTAGCTGGTGGTGGATGGTGTTGGGTGAGGGAGCAAACGGCCCCGCTCACTACAGAAGAGACTGTGAGGGGCTGGAGCAATAGCACAGCAGGTAGGGCGTTTGCCTTGCACGTGGCCGACCTGGATTCCCAGCATCCCATATGGTCCCCTGAGCACTGCCAGGAGTGATTCCTGAGTGCAGAGCCAGGAGTAACCCCTGTGCATCGCTAGGTGTGACCCCAAAAGAAAAGACTGCGAGTCCCGAAGTGGGGGCCCCCTGGCCTCGGAATGCCTCTCCCGGTGACGGGGTCTCCTGAGGCTGGCTGCCACCCCAGGCAGGCCTCCCCCTGGCCACAGCTCCTGCTCTGAGCGCAGAGCAGCCGGCAGCCCTGCGCGCGAGGTGCTGTTCAGATTTTAACTTGTCCACATTCTTGCAGGCGCATAGTGGGTGCCAGGGGATGAGTCAGGGAACCAGGGTGCGCTGATAGGATCTGAGGCGCAGCCCCACAGGCACAGGGGGACCGAGCTCAGCAGGCGGTCGCAGCGACCTTCTGCGCTGTCCCCCATGGGTTGAGGGACCTCAGGGCCCATGCGAAGTCCTGGGGCAGGGAGGGCAGCAGGGCCTCTGCCTCAGTGGACGCTGCTGCCCACCCCCACTTCCTGCGGTGTGCAGGGCGCTGTGTTGGCCCCCACCAGCCCCCCCCATGTGACAGATCTTCCCGTCAGCCTCACTGGGCTTGCGCTGTCGGAACCCCGGGAATGACCGTGTGCTCTGCCTGACCCCGGTGTTCTCCGAACCCCTCCCTGGGCGGCCAGGCTCACTGCATGCCCAGGCCCAGCCCAGGAGCCTGAACCCCTGCAGGCCAGACGGTGGCAGAGGCCGGTGTGGGGGTCTTGGAAGAGGGTGGGGTCCTGCCCAAGCTGAGGCCCGGAAGCAGGGGGGGACCCGCTTGGCAGCAGGGAGGGACGCGGGCAGAAGCAGGACTTTTTCAGTTTGTTTTGCTTTCAGGAAGAGCTCCCAAGAGGGTTGATCGGACACGCCCGGCCCCAGGCAGCCCACATGTGCCCACATGTGCCCACATGTGCCGGAGCTCCGGGGCCTGACCCAGGCAGGCAGCAGGCAGCCAGGGTGGCCTCCCGGCGGGAGTGACGGCCCGGGCAACCCCCTCCCCTGGGAGCTGCCTGGCCTCGTTCTCCAGAACCCAGGGGACACCCGCCCTGTCTCCCAGCAGGCCTCAGGTGCAGACTGCTGCCCAGCTGAGGGGAGCTCATCGGCCTGAATGCTGGAGGTCGTGGTGGGGGGTCTGCACAGTGCCCGGAACACCACTCCAAGCTGCTGCAGCTGACCTATGGAGAAGGGCCCTGAGGGTCAGAGGTCACCTGGTCCCCTCTCCCGGCTGGCCAGGTGGGACTCACACCCAGCCCAGAGTTCCTGCAACCTGTGGGGAGCCTCCTGGCTCCCCGGCAGATTGTGGTCCCCTAGAGCCCCCCTCTGGGAATAGTGGGCTCCCCTGTGCAGACCACCTCCTCCCAGCAGCCTCCCAGGCCTGCCCCAGGTGTCCCCATGTTCTGGGCTGCCTCCCTACCTCCCCCCGGCCTTCACCAACAGATGCACACCTGTGCACTGGGCCCCGCATCCCTCACCTTCCGACAGCAGCTCCCCACTTCCCTGGTCTGTCCTTGGAGAGAGCCTGCAGCCAGCCCCCCATCTCCCACACGCGCCATGAGGGTGCGAACCCGCCCATGCCAGAGATTGAGGCGCCTGTGCCGCCCTCTCTGCTCACTGCACGGGGCAGAGGCGGGGCTGGGGGGCGCCCAGTTGGTGACAGCGGAGAGGAAATAAGCGTCTTGGCTGCACGCTCCCACCATGCTTTTCCTGAGGCCAGGGCTGCCGGCCCCACCACCATCACCTTGCCCAGCACCATGGCCCGCCTGTGCCCTTTCCTCTCTCTAGTGCTACTTCAGTGTCCCAGAGAATGTTCTGGAAAGCTCTCACTGGATGTACCATGCACCCCCGCCCCCATGCAGCAGGGACAGACGTACAGGAGTGCTGTGGCAGACAGCAGGAAGGAGAAGGAGCTCCAAGCCAGGGGATACCCAACTCTCAACACCCAGCTGTCCAGTGAGGGGCCTGTTGGCTTGGGAGGGAAGCTTCTAGAATCCCAGCTGCCCCCAGGAGGGCATCACTTCTCTGTGTTCCCAGCCCTTGGCACTTTCCTTCCATGTCCTCATGACCCCTCATCTGAGGGAAAAGGGGCCAGTCCCAGCGGGGACCTCAGGGAGGCTGAGAGTTCCCTAAGGAGATGCTGTACCCCGCTGCAGCCCCATCCCTGTCCCCTCCATGGGCCTGCAGAGATGTGTTCATTGGGCCCCCAACTCAGTGCTGAGCTCCTTAGGGGTCTGCTGTAGCCCCGCCTGGATGACCACAAGCTTTCCACACTCCCCCCCCCCAACCCACACTCCCTCTCCTGGGTACTCTGAGAGCCCACCCCACGGTGGGGGCCTTGGTTACCATTCTGTCTGGGCACCCAGCGCCCCTCCTGTTAGTCGGGCAGGACAAGCTCCCTGTGGGAAAAGGGGTGAAGGCCACCAGCCCGGGTTTCCCGAAGGACATGCATGGGACCCCCTGCGGGGTGCAGGTGTGCATCTGACGCTAACACGCAGTGTATGGGAGCCCCCCGAGGGCAGCCCAGCACTGCCCAGGCCGGCCAGCGGGTGTCCAGCAGGGAGTGATGGAGTGAGTCCGCTCATGGCATCGGGCAGGTCCGGGCCTGGCGCGGCCTCACCCAGAGGAAGCAAGCACCGAGCACCGTGCCGGCGAGCCCTCCGTCCCGCTGGTATTCCCCGCGGTATCTGCGCGGCTGTGATTAAACGGATGGAAATGCCGACAAGCTCCGACATGCGCCGGCAACTCCTGCCCCTGCAAATATGCGCCTCACACTCACCCGCACAGCCGGGCCTTGCCCAATCTGACGCGGGGCCGTGTGGAACTTTCCGCACCTTGGGGTCCAGGCGTGTGTGTGCAGGGCTGTGAGGCTGGCTGCCACCTGCACACTGGCTGCCCGCACACACCGAGGGGACAGAGCCGGCACAGGCGGCGCTAGGGGACAGGCCTGCCCCTCCTCCACAGCACCATTGGCCCCTTGTCCCCTACCGGCCCCAGAGCTTGGCCTAGGCGCACCCTGCCCCCCCCCACCCCGTGGTCTGTCCCCCCGCAGAGGCTGACCTGGCGGTGCAGTGGGCCCCGGATGGTGGAGGAAAAGCCCGCAGGGAGGCTGGGGTCCAAGCAGGAGCCCCAGGCCCAGACAGCCCCAAGGCAGGGACACCTTGGGGACACACAGACAGCGTCGGTGGCTCCCAGCTCATGTGTACCCCAAACTCCAGCGTATCACCCCACATTCCCCTGTGGTGGCTCATCGGGGGGCACTGTGCATCCAGGGTCTCGGGTGGAAAGCTGGGACACTGTGAACCCTGAGGTCCAGCAGCCCCGCCTGCCTGCCCTGCGCCTCTCCAGGGCCGCGCCCCCTTGCTGCCCTCCTGTGGCCGCTCTCTGCACTGCAGCTGCATCCTGGCTTCTGGGCATTGCCCGATGCCCCATGCCTGCCACCGGCTTTCCTGTGGCACCTCCCGCTCCGGACACAGGTATCCTTGCTGCCTTCCTACCTGTGTATGTGGATGGACAGAGGGAGAGCCCAGCCCAGCCTCTCCAGATCCCCCTTATGCATGGAGCTGGGGGTGGGGTGACACCTGGGTGGAGCCCACAGATGCCAGAGAGCTGCCCCCAGCATCCCTGGACCCCATGCTGCGCTGAGACACTGGCCAGAGCTCAGGCGGGGGGAGCCCGGCTCCAGGACAGCCCAGTTGATGACCCAGAGCTGATCTTCCTCAGGGGGTGCGACCCCCATTCGCTCGGTGCTCAACCAGCATCTCCCAGGCCCCTGCTCTGGGCCCCCCGGCTTGTCTCTGGGAAGCATGTCTGGGTCTCCCTCGAGCAGAACAAAGGCTGAAGCTTCACATCAAGACCCACTCGCCCCCCTCCCCCAGCAGCACCCGCACCCCTGCACAGACCATCGCTGCCAGCCTAATGCCAGCTTTACAGTACCCTGGTGCTGTGTTCCCGGGCACTGCACTGCCTCCTCTGACTTGCTCCCGCCACCTGAGGGCCCTCGGTCCTGTGCGCATTGCCTGGAGTCAGGCTGGAGCTCCCCCCATCCCGGGACCCCCATCTGTGGACACACGAATCTCAGAGAGACATCTGGTGCCGGGGTGCACGGAGCCACCCCCCTCAGACCCTGGGACACGGGCAGGTGTCCACTTTCAGACCTGGGCACAGGGACACTGCACACAGCTGCTCATGACCATGGATGCCTCTGTCTGCATGGGGCGAACCTACACACACCCCTGGACACCACACGCGCCCCTGGATACCACACACGCCCCCGGACACCCACATGCCCACACGACTGAAGTCCCAGTTGTGCACACCCAATCCTGAATACGTGTATTTACACTCATGTGTGTGTGCACACCTCCCCCACACAGGTGTACATGCACCTCTGCCCCCCCGCACACACAGGCACCCCCACCCCCACACACAGGTGCACACGCACCCCTGCCCCGTCCCCATACACACCCATACCCTGCCCCTACCTACTCAGGCGCTACACACCCCTGCTACATTTCCGAGCACACACAGGTGCGCACTCCCCCCACCCCTTGCCCGGCTGCGAGCATCCTGACACCTGCCAGCGCTCCAGCAGCCTCGGCCTCACAGAGAATGAGTGGCCTGAGCAGCTGTGGCTTCCTGGACCTGCTCATGTAGGGGTGCAGCCAGACCAAGGCTCGCTGCAAGGTGCTCTGTCTGTCCTTGTCCCACCCTGCCCTGTGGGAGTCCTGGGGAACAACCACTTCCCAGCCCTGAGGCGAGAGCCCCCAGGGACCCTGAGCACTGGGCAGGGAGCAGGGTGAGGCTGCCCCAAAGACACCCACCCTTCCCCCAGTGCCAGGTCCTGCCCCCAAGGGGTGCTACCCCTGGCTGGCCCAGGCGTGCAGTGCCCATATCTGCCCCGCTCACTGCGCCACGGCGGGCGTCCAGACTGGCATCCACAGGCAACGCATCCCCAGCCGTGGGGACCAATGTCCCCCATGCACGCGGCCACCTACCGTGGAGAAGCGCTGTGTGGGGTCACTCACGTACAGCATGGTGGCGTGCCGCGGGGCGAGGCATGGGTCTGGGTGGCCCGGGGACGAGGGCCGAGGCCAGGCCAGCGGGCAGGGGTGCCCGGGAGAGGCGCGGGCGCCGCGGATGCTCCCGCACGTGTGCCGCTGCCTGGCGCTTTCCCCAGCTCGGTCCTGCGCCTGCTTCTAACAACAAAACGCGCCCCCCCTCCCGCCCCTCCTGCCTGCTCTGCGGCGCCGGGCACGCCTCAGCTTGCCCGCGGCTGTACCGGCCGCAGCGCCACCGCCTGGGGAGGGGGCAGTGCCCGCCCCAGGCACAGCTCCACCCGCTTCTCCTCCAGGTCCCCAGTGGGCTCGGGGGCCACGCAGGCTCTCGAGCCATCCGCAGGCCAGGCCACTCCCAACGGGGTCCCAGTGGGGCCCAAGGTGGGCAGAGTGCCTGGAAGGGTGGCGGTGCCAACCCCCCAAGGGCTGTGCAGCGAGGGAGGTGTCCTGGGGCTACCTGGGAGCTCAGGGACATGGTGACAGCTGGGAACTGAGCCCAGAGACGAGGTCCACCCCGCTGGCCCCTGGCAGAGGCTGGGCTGGGGGCTGAGGAGTGAGCCGGGTGGACCCCACCCCACAGGTGTGTGGAGGGAAACTGGTGCCAGCCCGGCCCCAAGCAGAGGGTCCCTCTGGGGGGCTCGGGGGTAGCTGTGCCCCGTGTTTACCCCCTATAGGTCGTGGCAGGTCCCACTGAGCCCCTGAGAGTGCCCACCAGCAGCCTGAGAGCAAGAGGGGGAACGGGGTCTACCGGGCAGGGCCCTACAGCCACCCCCACCGCCATAGAACGGAGCGCAGGGTTGGGGCCAGGACAGGGCCATGTGCCAGGCAAGAGCTGCCTGAGGGCCCCAGGACGCCCGTGACGACCCCGGCTCTGCGCCCTCACCACCCACTTGGCAGAACTCGCTGCTGAGGGCACTTTTGCCACTGCCCCAGCCTTGGGCCCTGCCCCCCACCCGGCTCCCTGTGGCCTGAGGGGTCCCCAGGGCACCTCTGTCCTGACACCCACAGGTGCCTCTGACTCAGCTCAGGGACCCACCATGCGCTTTCCCAGCCAGAGGATCTTCCCAGGGCTGCCCCGTGTCCTGAAGGAGCCCCAGTGAGCCTGAAGGGTCCCAAGGGAGGGGACCTGGGGGCTGCTCCTGCTAAAATCCCCCCATCTGTTCCCCTCAGCTGCGGCCTGAGAAAGGTGCAGGGCAGAGACAGGCTGGAAGGGGTGGCACCCCCAGAGTGCAGGGGGCAGCCACACACGGCCCTACCCGCCCCGTCTGCCCCACTCGTGCGTGTCCAGGCTAGGAGGACTGGACTGGGGGTGTTTGCAGTGGGTCACCTCTGAGGCCCAGGGGACCCCATGGCAGCCTCCCAGCCCACTGCTCTTCGGTCCCATCTCAGGGATGGGACCCCTAGACTTTCCCGATCTCCTCTTGCAGAAGGTGCAGGGGGACTCCTTTGGGGGGGACAGTGACTCCAGGGCAGGCAGGTGAGGCTGAGAGGAGCAACACCCAGTGCTGGCCCTGTCGGTCACCTTCAGCCTGCAGTGGCGTCCCCCACCCCCACAGTCTGCTCCGAGGGTTTCCTCAGCTGTACCCACCTCACACCCCAGGCCACCGAGGCCTAGAGGTGGGACAACAGGTCCCCATCTCTGCCCCCACATTCTGTCTGACTCCCGTGCCCCAGATAGGCACAGCCCGGGGCCTCCCGCCCTGACCACAGACACAGCCCCAACGAGACAGGCCCATGAGGTCCTGGCAGCCTTCACAGCCCCGGGTGACAGGGATGAGGGGGAGGGAAAGCGGGCAGAGCAGGAACCCTCCGGGGACCCCGTCCTCAGTTCCCATAGCCGGCGTTGTGGGGGGGCTGCATCCCCCGACTCGGCCAAGCAGAGACAGGCCAGGGTGGGTCAGGCCAGCGCTTCACCCCAAAACCAGCCCTGAGGAGTCTTGGGGACCCGGCACTCCAGCCCTGGCCAGCCCAGTACCCGCAGGGAGCAGAGCCAGGGCCAGCAGGGAGGATGCGGTGGGGGTGATGTCGGGACGGGCCATCCTGGAGCCCCCGGACGCCATAACAGAGGGGCTCGGCGTCCCCCTGCGCTCCACAGAGCCCAGAAGCCCCTTCAGGGTACTCTGTTTGGGGACTGTCCTGGGGTGCTCACTCCCTCGGCCCGGCGGGTCAGCACCAGGCTTGGGCAGTCACGCCCCGCCCCCGAGCAGCGCAGGCAACTTCCTGGGGTCCTTCCTGTCACCCTGTCAGGAGTGCAGGCCCGGAGAGACACGAACCTCGGACAAGGGCCCAGAGGAGACGCCCAGGGAGCCGCTGAGAACCCCCCAGCCAACCCGCAGGGACTGAGGCTGCGTCCAGCCTCCACCCAGGTCCTCCCACTGATCCTCCCCATCTTCTCCCCCACCCTGTCCACCCCCTCAGCCCCCCCGCCCTGCCCCCCACGACTCACCATGCCTGCGCTCACAGGCTGCATGTGGAAGGCGTGCAGGCTGTCCCCGGCGCCCGCCTGGCCTCTGGCCCGGCTCGGCTCTGGCAGGTCGAAGTAGGTGCTGTCCGGCTCCCTGGGAGGGTGTCGCAGTCAGCCCTGGCCCCACCCGCGCCCCCACACAGCCCGGCCCTGGGGTACTCACAGAGAATTCCAGAGGTGCTCGAACGTGGCTCCCTCGTCGGTGGGGGGCGTCTGGGTCATCCTGCCCGTTTGTCCCCGAGGGCACCCGCTCTGCAGGGAGGGGACAGTGAGCACTGAGGGACCCTCCTGTTCTCAAGGAACCTTGGCCACCCCCAGCATGGAGGGACTCGCTGAGCCTGGCCAGACAGCGCCACCCTCAGGAGCTGTGTCAGCGGGCATGGACGCGCTGGGGCCCAACCCTGTCACCCCCTCTTGGGCACGTGAGCTGTGCCCTGCCGCCCTCACACAAGCCACGAGGCGCGGGGGACACTCCAGCCAGGAGAGTGGGCACGCCTGACCCTGGCACAGTGAGGGCGGGACAAGCATAGCCTTCCTGGGCGCGCCTCTGGGTCCTGGGCCAGAGGCCGTGGGAATCCGCTTGGCCACAGCCGGGCAGTGCCCGAGTGGACAGGCCCAGACCTGCCCACCGCAGTAGGGAGGGACGGCACGGCCAGTGGTGAGTGGACCCTGGTGCCCATTGCCTCAGGCCAGGCCACCTCGGGCGGCCATAGGGACCCGGAAGGTCAGCCATGTCCGGCTGGACAGCCCCCCCTTGCCCAGAGAGGTCCCTCAGAGAGGGCGCGTGGTCGCCAGCAGGTGGGCCGAGAAGTGCTGGCCCCGCCACATGCCAACTGAACACGCGGGTACCCAGGGCTGCCGCGTCCCTGCTGGCCGGACAGAGCAAGGCGGTGCTTCCTGGGGGCGCCTCTTGTGGGCAGAGAAATCACCCCAATGCACAGCGGCATCTCCCCCTCGTCCCCATGAGCACAGCTGCCAAAAGGGGCCCCAAGAGGGCTCGGGTTCAACAGCAGAAGAGCAGCAGCAGAAAGATGCTCCCCCACAGGGCAAGGGCCCATGGCATCCGGAGGGCAGTGCGCGGCTGTGACAGCGTGCCCCAGCAGGAGGGACAGCTCTGGGGGGACACGTGTGCTTCAAGGGCCAAAGCCCCCATGTCAGGGGCCTGTGCAGGTATGTGTGCGTGTGTATGTGTTTGCGCGTGCACATCTATGCCCAGTCCCTCCCACAATGGACCGTTGAAGTGGGGATCCTGACCCAGCCCCAAGACCGGCTTCACACCCCACTGCCTTCTCGAGGTGACTCAGCTCCCAGGCCACAGCTCCGGTCAGGGTGGGACCCATTGGTGACATCTGCAACTGTTTCCGGGGCTGGGGGATGGTGACACTGCAGTCCCCAGAAGAGGGGTCTGGTCAAGCTGGGGCCGCCCAGGTCAGAGGGCCCCTCACAGGCACGTCCTTGGCTCGCTCTGTCCGGAGGACCCCAGACCTCAGAGGCCCCGGACCTGCCGAGCACTGCAAGGGGTGAGCAGAGCAGAAGGGCCCCAGAACCCAGCGAGGGGCCAGTCCTAGTGGCAGGGTGGCGGCTCCCGAGCTGGGGGTCACTCCTGCGCCCCAACATCGCACCCAGGGCTCCAGCACCCCTCTATGGACGAATGCGGGACAGCTGGGACAGCCCCCGACCTGAGCTCAGCCACAGCAAGGGCACCCCGGGCCGGGCTGGCAAGCATCGGCCCCGCCCCAGACCTCCACCACCACCAACCACGGAAACCTAGACGGACAGGAACAGGGTGGCGGCTGGACCGAGACTGTCTGGAGGGCCCCAGGCCTGCCCAAGCCCCGAGCCCCTACCTGGGCAGAGCACGGGACTCCGGCTGGCAGCAGAGCGTCAGAGACCCTCTCCCTGGGCAGCAGCTGCCCCTCGCGGCGCCCAGAGGGGTATGGTGGGATGGTGGCCAGGCCCAGGGTCGCTGGAGTGAGGGCAGCAGCTCCCAGGCCTCTCTGGCCTCAGGACACCACGTGGGAGGTGGGTGGGGCGAGGCACAGAGAGGTGGGTGGGGCGAGGCGGGGCGGCCCCCGTTGACCCTGGGACAGTTCCCTGAGCCTCTGCCTGGTAGGGAGGGACTAAGGAGCCTCCACACCCCAGACAGGGGGACAGGCAAACAGCCAGGCGGGCAGGAAGTGCTTCCCTCCTCCCCTCCTCCCCTCCCTCCCTCCTGGCCTTCAGAGGTGGGCAGACCCACTGCTCTGCCCTGCATGGCTAGGTGGGCGTCTCCCTGGGCACTTGTCCATCCAGTGACCGTCCCACAGAAAGCTGGGACCAGGGATCCAGCACCCACACGAGGGCTGGGGGCTGTGGGCAGTGTGGTGTCCACAGGGTCACAGGAGATGGGACCCCTCCCCAGAGACGGAGCCAGAATCAGGCCCGGCTCCCCCACGGTCCCCACCGGGCTGCACACGTGGCCATATCCGCAGAACACCAGCAGCCCAGGGCATGATGGGAAAACTGACGGGCACACAGCAGTCCAGACGCCCAGCTACAGGGCCTAGGACACAGGGCATAGG